CTACCTGAGCTTCCTTGTTGGGTGATTGTTTTGACTCTTTTTGTGTTTTGTTTCCTAACTTTAAAATTAAATTGAAATGTTTTTCGAGATTTTTGATTTCAGAATCCCTCATTTACGATTTGATTTGATTTGTTTTCTTTTTTTCTTTTCTAAACCTAATCGCGTGCAATGCGAGCCCTAAACTATCCCTTCAAGTGACCTTATATAGAGGTATCGGAGGGGCAAAAGGAAATGGCACTTACGGTTTCCTACTTCTTAGTCTCCTTTCCGGATCAATTTTTCAACTCGTCACATGCGGGTTGTTCCTTCGTAGATCGTCGTTCTGCTTCCCTTGCTGCTGGTTCTGCGTGCTCGATTGGCGATTTCACAGAAACTCCCATAAGATTCTGGTTAATTGTCCACCACTACTGCACTTAGAATATCCGTTCCGACTGCGCCACTTAAATGTTCAAAAGTCGGGAGAGCGTTTTTAAAAACATTTATTACACAGAAAGCGAAATAAAGTTTTATTCGAACTGGCCGTTACAAAAGCTGGAATAATAACAATATTACAATCGAATAAATAGGGCTTTTGATGCGGTGTCAGCGATGCTTCGCTTAGCTTTAGGCTTCGTATGCAGTTTGGGACATATAACTCAGTAGATTGTTTTGCAAACAGAATCTGATTTGATCCAAAAAAACACATAACATTTTATGGTGCGCTTACGCGGTAACACCCGGTTTCATTGTTGGTGATATTGGTGATATTTTACAAAGCATGAAGTATGTACATGCAGATATTACACTTATTACAAACTTAAATTGTGTGCCTGTGGCAGATTCTACACCTCCTTCCGGCTTTATAAACATGAACAATCATGAGGTCACCTTGATTATGATAACGCACTTCATCTATGGCAGGTGCAAGATTTCTTTGAGTAATTGTTTTATCAGTTTTTAAAAGTCGCAAAGCAATGCAAGATTTAAAATCTACCCGGGAAATCTTTTGCTCGTTGACAATATTATACAATTTCTATGCATTCACTACTAGACTATCCAGTGAGTTACAAAATAAAGGCCACCACTATTTTTTTCCAAATACCTGGCACATGTAATTAGCAATTCCGTTGTCATGTAAATCTACCCCACCCATATATCTATTTTATTGGGAAATTACATAAGGTTGGGGTATATTTACATCTTTCCCTTGTTTTCTATTATAGCATTTTACAGGACAGGACAGGATCTACACTATAATCATTACTTGCTACAGTTACAACTGAATTGTCGGGCCAACGGACAATAGAAATTTGTGATCCAGATTCTTATGCTGAAAGATAGGATCCGCGGTCTTTTTTTCCAAATGATTTACAATTTTCCATTGGACATTTATTTGTTCTATTTTCCTGGATAGTACCGATGGCAAAATAAGATTTTTTTATTTATTACTTCAAAGAAGCTAAATATGTGGCAATGAATGATTACCCAAGAACAATCAAATGCCTACAAAATTTAAAAGTTCATTTTTTAACGAGAATTCACTACGGTTATTGTCTTGAGCATATTTTACCGAAAATTTTAAAATCAAATCAATCACTTCGTCATCAAAAAACAAAAAATATTTCAAGCGGAGTTTTCCGGAAAGTTTATTTTTCAGTTTGTCACATGATCTTGATTCATCAGATATAGGTGTGTGAGTGTACTCAATCTGACCTTTCTTCCATTTAACAGTAGAAGCAAAACTGTCGTTTGCAGAAAGCATATGTCTTCTTTTGAATTCCAGGGTTTCATCATCTGATGAATCCCATTATTCAGGTTCAGTAGTTGCTGAATTACAGGACTGTTGAAGGATAGCTGTATCATTCGGTGTATGTAACTTGAAAGTTCTCCAAACTGTTGTAGATTTATGTTATCGTTCATATCTTCTTCATCATTCAAGGTATCCACGTCGGGTGGAATATAGGCCGCGTCAATATGTTCTGTAAATATTTTTTCACGTTATTTTTAGCATAAATTTACAAGGAATGGAATGCTACAATACATAGGGATACGTAAATCCAAATAATACTTACGACTTTCAATGTTATTGTCCTCATCCATCACGATCTCCTACATAGCCGCCTCTAATTCCTTTTGAGTCAAATACCTCGGAAATACCATATTTTAGGAACTGTAACGTTCACTGCACAAGGCACAAACTAAAAAAAAAACTAAAGAACACGCTAATTGTTCGATGTTTATTCTACATACGCTGACTTGTCTAGACTTGCAATAACAAAGTTTTGTTTCACAGATAAAACCAGTGGTGCATTCACGCGCCAGTACATATTTTCAAAAAATAAAGCATAATCAATATATTATAGTCTACATGCTATGCTAGACAACAAAAATGGCAATACAAATCCAAAAAATTTTTTTTTGACTTTTTGAATTTACTTGAAAATGTGATACAAATTTATGTACCGCTTCTGTTAACTTTTGAAGATCTTTTCTTTACACATAAATTAGCGATTTCTACGGTTTTATATCCTTTAGTAGTGATAATAAAATTTTTAAATGGATTTGCAAAAATATTTCCTAGATGTGACAAAAATTATAGAATAGGTGGTGCATTAACGCACCAATGGGAGACAATTGGTTAAGTAGCTCCGATAGTTTGATAGGCTATTTTGTAGTTTATCTCGCGGGTCGTGGGTCGTTGGATTCCTTTTAATAATAAATTAAGTGATTATTCATTTGTTTTAAGCACTGTGTATTAATATGACCGAGAAGTCTAGCCCTATGTCGACTCGCTCGCCATTAGAACCCACCCACCTGATTTTTATTTCTATTTTATTATTTTGACTATTTTCATACGATCTCCGACATATACTACTGCAAACACGCCTTATTGCGTCGTAGGTAGCGTTGAACTTCACCGGTTAACAAACGAAAACCGAAAAAAAAAAGGTCCATTCCACAACCGCATGCGCTAGATTTAAATCTCTTTTTTGGGGCAGTATTTTCTCAAAATATATTCAAATCCTATTAAATCTTCATTAGTACGGCCACCATGTACCTGATAGCTATATGGCGATAACATTATGTTTTATCGAGTGTGCACGCGGTAAAAAATTGATGCGCATCAGAGATGGGAATGACCTTCCGCAATTGCCTAAAAATTTCACCCACTAACTTGCACTTTGCTCTATTTTCGTTCTAAACAACCAGCTCTACACATTTATTGGTTGAAAACGACATTTCAAATTACTTCGCATGCGCATATTAAGTAGCCCATCTCAAGACATATATTTTCATCGTCGCTTAAATAATTCCTGCATTATCAGCGTAGACAGGGCATTATGAAAAATACCAACAATTTCATGTACCTCAGGACACTACCAAGCACTAAAAAGTACGTCTTCCTGTCGTCTGGTCACATTTACCAATTTCAGAAATTTGGCATTATATAGCTCCTTATGGTTTGGCCCCCTGTATCAAGAACTTACATCATTTCTTGCACGTTATTGGATGCATTTCAATTATTATCACTAAGCAAAAATAAAAAACAGTTTTTGGATATGCTTTCAGAGCAAAACATCTAGACGACGCCAGAACACTCTCAGATTTGTGACGTCATCACCTCAACATCGAGTGATCTCGCATCTACGTACATGAACGTCTTGGAACTAATATATTTTGCTTCAATTACTAAAATTTTGTGTTACTGCATTTTACGGGGTAGTTCACATTTCCCAACACAAAATTAACCCTCAAAATGCAGTAGATGACCGCTAACACCACTCACATAAAAATGTAATTTTTTTAAAATTTACTCTTTGTGACGTCACGCGTGCAATTCCCAGCCACGGTGTTGAAGAACGAAAAGAAGCCTTTGGTTAAAAGCAACGTTTGAAATTGTGCCAAATTATGTTCGTATGCAAAAAAACTGTTTTTTTGTCTGCCGAAGGGGTATTGGCCGAAGTAATTCTCTATAGTTTACAGTGCTATGCTATACATATACTACCGCCGTTGTACTATAACCATATTGAATGCTTATTTGAAAAGCTAGTTACTAACCAAAACTAACTTAAAAAAATTTAAATAACGAGGATTTTTGTCCTATGGTTATTTCAAATTTGAGCAACAGACCACTAAAGTATAATAATCTGTGGTTGAGGTTTTAATAAGGAAATATCTGATCGAATTTTCTGCTCTTTGGGGTTTGTGTTACCTAATACCTGCCGAATATTTGAAGAAAATAAGTAAATAGACTTTAAACCGCATATAATTTTTCTTAATCATAATTATTTTAGAAAATGTTGTCTGCAATTAGAACGGGAACAATACACTCCACCAGGAATATGTCTGTACTTTCGGGACCACCAAGAGTAAAAATTAGCGGGTTGGAAAAATTGCTTCATGGTACTGCGATTGTCACTGGCATTTTTGCAACTCCCGTTTATGTTCTTCTCAACCTTAAAAATTATAAAGGACCGGAACCTGAGCAGTAAATAATATGCATATTAAGTTTGTATTGTATTAGTCAACCTTAATAGAAAATAGTTATTATCAAGTGTTTCAATTTTTTCCACGTAGGATAAATTGCCAATGTGTTTCATCTGTAAACTAAAAACTTATTCTTCTCCAATCAGTTCTCGTGGGTTTATGCTTTTAATTATTTTTTAGGCTTTTTACTTTTCGATATCCAATGGCTGGTAATTTGTTCTATACAAAAACATTTCCTTATACTTTTGATGAAGGTAGACTAGTAAAATATAGGAGTTTTGAAAATGAGAGCTACTGAGTTAGACATTTAGTAGCAAGCAATACTTGTACACAAGCAATGGAAAATTTATATCATGTTGTAACCTGCCTTGCCTTATCACTAGTTTGATAACATAAAGCTATTGGAGATTAATTATGAAAACAAAATCATATTATAAGGTTTTGTTATTACCTATTTTATTTTATTTAATTTTATAATTTTATGAAGTGTAAAACTAAGATAAAACACGAAAATTATAAAGAAATATTTTATTTTCTAACAGTCTTTCAGGGAAAACAAAAAATATGCTTTTGATTAAGCAAATACACACTTTATATGTACAATTTCAAAAAATAGTTAACAATAAATAAGAAGTCCTGCCCTTAAAATACAGGTTACAAGTGATTCATATTTACTTTTATATACTATTAAATTATTTAAAACAAAATACAAAAGCAATAGTTTCATAAGGTCGCATTTCAAGATGTGCCTATTAATTTAATAGCTTTGCATTGGTCATTTATGAGAAATTCATTTACACAATTTTAATATCGCACATGGTATAGGTATAGAGTTTGATAATACATATAACAGAGAGTATGCCAGCGATTTTAAATGTTTTTTCGTTTGGTGGCCTTTTAGAAAAGAGCATTTTAATTATTTACGAAAATTCCAAACACCCTGCCTCCCATTGTTTAAAAGGACAGTGCTTTTCTATACTGGAATATGCCAGTGCAGCCCAAAATTTTGCAAATTAAATTACTATTTTTGAGTTCACCTTGAACGTCCAGTAATATTGGTGGCGGTGGTGACAAATTGATTTGCGATAGATTTGGAGCTGCCCATGTGGTAATAATTTAATCCCATTATTTTTATTAGAAATTTGTGATTATCATTTATTACAGGTTTTAGCAAATATGAAACCTGTGCAAATAATTTAATGGCTTTCATCCTCATCTGGGTTGATCGAATTAATCATTTACAACAAATTTTGAGAGACCCTTTTTCAATCTATACCTTTCCATAAAGTTCCTCCCTCTTCCTCTTGCCACCTCGGCGTTAACTGAAGTCTGCAATATATTCCTAGAAATAATACTGGAACATATATCTGTAGCTTCCTTTAAAATATTACCAATCAACTCGGCCAAAAAATAAGACAAAAATTATTCATTAAAACAAAACAAAAAACATGTATATGGTTAAAAGTGAGTGATACATTTAGGCTTTCTTATTGACAATTGTAAACAATTCATTTATAGTCTTTTCCAATACTTTTATATCTAAAGCACCATTTTGTTTATTAGACTTGTTTCGGTTATCACTTTCTTCACTACTTGATTTCTGAACGTCTGATTCACTACTATTACTGCTTTCAAATTTTGGTCTGGCCTGGTTTGATTCTTCAGATGATGTTGCTTCTTTGGATGTGCTAGGTTTTTCCTCATGATTATTTTCCGGTTTACCATTTTTTTCGTCTGTTTTCTCTAAAATTTGTATTAATTAACATAAATTTGGAAGATTTTAAAAATAGACTTAAATTTTTTTAGGAATATTATTCATCTATTTCATTCAACTGTAAAAATAAAATCCTGAAAGAAAAATTGAAATTCAAAAATTCATTATAATTTTGAAGACAAAAGTTATTGAAAAGAATTCAGGTTAACTTAAAACATTAACCAAGACAGTGTCAATTTTTTTAGTTCAATCATAGAAATAGAGTCAATCATTTGTTGCCACAAAAATTTTAAGAATTTATAGATAAAGTTTAGAAATGTACATGACACGGTACAGATATTTAGCTGATACATTTTAGGTTCTCTCTGAATGACAAATTATATTATATAAAAAACATCATATAATTAATATAAAAAAAATTTTATTAGATTATTAATTAATCACCAGTGAGACCAAACAAGACATAAGAAATCACAGTTAAAACAGAATTATTTCATGAAACACAAAATAGAAAACCATAACGATCTAAAGACACATTTAAAATTTTAAAATAAGTTCAATTTAAAATTCTATTTAATTATAATTTTTTTTAATTTGAAATTGTTTCAGATTTTCCAATAATTTTTACACGCACCTTTCCGAAAGTCTAGTTTATGTACTTCCAGTTTCACTTTATTCTGAAGCTGTAGCAAAATTTCCTTCAAAAGCGGAGGAGATTCTGCTTCAGGGGAGCTATAAACTAAAACAAGAGCTCGCAGATCGCCTGTTAACCTCTTAGCACTTCTAAAGATATCTGCTGAGCTTATTAACTCATTTAATGATACTATAGTACTCTCTACCATTCGAAGAGTTTGTTCGGAAAGAACCTGAGCAGATACCTAAAAGAAACATGATTATATAAACTGTAAATTGTATAAACTATCCAAAAGTAACCAAAAATTAACAAATTCTAACATTCATTCAAAAAAATCAATTAACAAATGACTTTAGAACGCATGCGCAGGTTTCTAATAAATTTTACAAACTCTAGAACTGAGCTACTCTTAATACATTTTTTAATTGTTGGTTATTAATTATAAATTGCATTTTATAAACCAAGCCATCTATTTCCACAGATAATTTTTTTGAAGTAACTTGTTAATTGATGATTTCCTAGTGATTTTTTTATATTAAGTTGTATATGCCGCTTTGACACCTTCAATAAATGATCCGAAATATTTCACAGAGACCACTTACTTTTGGGAAAAATGCAGTTAAAAATTCGTAGATTACATCAACACTCAAAGCATAACGTTCATCTAATAATACAGCATCAACATAATCAATGAAATAGTTGCATGAAGTTAACATTGTAATATATTTTCTTTCGATATGCTAAAAAACATTTTTTTATTCGTCATTCTTTTATGGTATGTAAAAAAAACTTACCTGGGCTTTTAAGATATCTAACCACAGTTTTGGAAAATAAGTGGAATGTAATGGCACAGCCTCAAATCCAACTACTGCGCTTAAATTTATCAAAACATCAGGAACTGAATCATTATTTACAGCTAATCGAAACATTGTATCAATGAAATCATGATAGGGAGAATAAAATTTATCTAAAGCCAGGTCGTACTCTGGATCAACACCCTAAAAACATGTTCACATATATCAGAAAATAGCAAAAAGTACTGCTAAATGAATAACAGTTCTGCCCTGCTAGTTATTTATATAATATATTGTTATATATATTTATATAAATATTGCAACATTACAATATTGTGAGAAATTTCGCAGATAAAATTACCAGCTATTTTTCTCGAATTTGTGGGTGTAAATCGGCACGAAGCGTTTGTTTTCATAAAGTTATAGGTTTAACCTCTATGCAAAATGTAAATAAAGTCGATATCAGGAAAGATGATTCCTAAAGGTTTAAATATAACTTCATGAGATACTGATATCGCACAGGAAACAACCAAGCGGAAAAAATGTCCAAGAACCAAATGTAGCTCGAACGCTCATTCCTTCATCGCCAGTCGTAATTGCAGATGAAAGCTGCCAATGAAAAATTTGTTTAAAAAACTGTAGGTATTGCAAAATATAACCAAGACAATTAAAACCTAGTATAAAAACAAGTCAATAAACTATTTGCGTAAAAAAACTGTATTTCAATATGCAACCTAAAACACTTAAAAAAAAATGCCCTAAATGTAAGAGTATTGCACAGAAATTAGTTTTAGAGAATTAATAAATTAATATAATTTGTATGTATTGGATTTTATTTAGCACAAACATACTCATTTCGCTCGTTTCCAGTTAATATGTGCGTGGCAAAAACATTTTTGCATAAAGTTTAGCCATTTAACACAAAGGCCTAGAAAGTATCGCTTATTGTACCAAAATTTGAAAATCAACCTTTAAAAAAAAATCCACCAAAATCATGAAACTAATTTTGCACAAAAAAATTGAATCTACACATATTTCAATTAATACTGCCGACAACAAGAGACTGTCAAATTGTCAATTGTCAGCCGCCATGTTGGTTGTTGAACGGCACAATGTCTTATTGGTTGAAAGCGAATTTTGAAATGTGTAACCAATTCCTCTACAATTCTAGTAGCTACATAGAAATTTCACATTGCCTAATTATTTCTACTTATAGGAAGTAAGTCATTGGTTATACTTAATTGATTTCTGTTATAATAAATATTAAAATTTATATTATAATCCTACCATTTGTATATAACATAATGAAAAGAAACGGTGAATGGTCAGGATGGGCAAAGTTCGAAAAACTGACAAAACTTGCAAAAGTGAAAATGTTTATTAAACTTGCCAATCTTGATAACCTATAAGATGGTAGTTATATATATTTGTGTGGAAGACTGTGTTTTTTCATTTGGTAAGAATGCTGGACTATTTTGGGAAAATTCCAGTTCCAATCGTTCCAGACGTGAATGTTTATTAACATTTCTCTTTTAAAATGAATTTTAAATTCATATTTCCTTCCAAAATTTGCAACGATTGCTTACCCTGTTACATTCCAGTTGATTGTGTGGAACTGTCATTTGGACCATGGGTCGCAAAGGTCTCGCTGCACCTTTTCCGGCAACGATCGGCAATAAATGTCCTCTTCTGGGAAAGTAAGGACCTAGTGGTACGGCATCGTGACTATCTTGAAAAGCTGAATGGCAATGTGAGAGCAGAGGTACTAGAATCTGCATAGACTCAGATGTCATTATCAAGAGAAATTCTTTAAGTACTTCTAAAAAGTCAAACAAGAATAAACAAATATGATCATATAATTTTAAATCAAACCTATGCAAAGTGTCCTCATTTCAGGAGGATTGTAAGTATTTAGTAATGTAGCTAATTTTCTTATCACCTCCAACCAATCCTTTGTTGCCAGTACAAGTTCACGCGAATCCTTACTGTCCCTGTAAGTTCTGATGCAATGCATTAGGTCATATAGGACATGTAAAATCTCAAGCATATCCCCAACCACGTGGCAAGCTGTTGCTTCATGTAACATAACATGTAAATTTTGAAAACACTAAAAATTAATAGTATTGAACGATATTTACAGCTCAAAAAGAATCTTATAACCAACTTACTTCAAATACAATCTGCAGGCCCCCATTATAGACAACATATAATTTATCATCATTTGTTTCCACCAATATTCTAACTGCATTTATTAAAGTACCCCAACTAGTTCTACCATCAAGACACTGAAATATTTCACTAACAGTATAAAGAACTGATTTAAAAAAAAAAAACATCTTACTTGAAGATAAGTCGTAAGTGTGTTTCGTTTGAATGTATATATTTCCCTTTGGTCAGCATCTGTCGCATCTGGGTGTTTCATGACCATTATCTGCATTAATTTGAATAATTCTTCCACTGCCTTAAATAAAAAACGAAAAAAAAAAAAAATCTATGCCAGTTTTGTATGTAGTTCTTTTCTCAAGCAGATGCCAAATAAGCATAAATGTTGAATTAGTAGGGTTTTTGAATTAAATTTAAAACATGTATAACAATTATTATAATTAAATATATGTATATGAATCAGATTTTGTCAGTTCCCATACTTTATATTATCAAGACTCACAAATTATTAAAAATACTCTGAAATAATGTATTGTATAAGTTTGTGAAAAATGTAGGTCCTGACATTAATTCAAATAATCAATATAACCAATATGTTTCCGTTGTACATAATTGGTAATTTTCCTTAGAAATTTGGCTTTGACATATGCTTTAAAAATCTTCAGCTTACTTGTGGATATTGTGTTGGATGAGGAGTTATATTTTTGAAAGCCCATTGTAGGTTTTGATGATTAGCAAGAATTCTTGTAAATATCCTAGATTGTTGACACATCATCCTTAATATTCCATAATAAGCGGGCAACATAGCTCTGTTATATAAAACAATTTCTTGATCATCGTGATCTGCTCTAAAATTAATTTTTTAGTTACTAAAAGTGTAGTAAACAACCTTGTTGGTAAACCCCAACCCCAATTTATACAAGAAATAGGTTTTTTACTGACTCCACTAGATCCTAAAATAAACAATCTGAATAGCTCACTTAACGTACAGGATATAATTAAAGGCAATATTCTTTGTTACATGACCATTAACCAGCATGAGTTGTACATTTTCTGGACAATCTGTACAAACATGATTCCAAAATGCAAGAAGTGCTTGTTTATTATGGTAGGCTGGAATGGAAGGTTCCGATAGTTTCGGATGGAATAGGTGCCATAACTGCAGGAAATATTGACCAAACTAAAAAGATGAAATATAAAAATCAATTTGGATTTACAGGACCACACACTGAACTCACCATTATCTTTTCAGTCCTTGAAATGCAACAATACATCATTAATGCAAAATATGTAGTTAGCTTCATTGTGCCGTGTTGTTGCATATCTGTGTAATGTTTGGCAGCAGGCAAAAGCCTTAACAAAGCAGTGTAAATTTGGTGAAGAACAGACTGAGCCTCAGATGTAAGTTGGGGTTCACGTGTCACTCGGTGTGACGCTCGAAATCCTTGTCGAAACGGTGTGCTTGGGACTAAAGCCACTAGTAAATAACCAGCAGCTGAAAAGAACTTTGTGTAAAAAACTATTAAAGTCAACTTAAAACATTGTTACAACATAAAGGTAATCTAACTACTATTAACCACTAAATTAAATAAAAATATATATCTCCGGTATTTGTTATAAGATTACTTCCTTTTTTTTCTAAATAATGGTTCAGAATCAAAATTTCATTTAACATGATAAAAATGATCTTCAAAAAATTGTTTTGATAAAAAAAGCAAGTGTGCTTACTGTTTCTAACCCTCTGATTGCTGTGGCCAATCAGAAAATGTTCAAGCCATGTGTCCATGGAACTTAAAACCCATGAATGGACGAGTCTGTTTCTAGTTACTTGCAATGCCAACCAATCCAATGCAGAATGTGGGCAACATTCTGCAGCTTCCCATACTTTTTGTAAAACCAACTGAGTAAAACAAGGTTGAGATGAGCTACTATCTAGTTCACCTTGATTGGAATTCTCTGTGAGCAATGTCAGAATCTTAAAAAAAGGCTGACATCCTTGCAAATTTACCTGCAAATTAAAAGAAGAACCGTTAATATAACACAATACAAAAAAAGTTTTGCAGAAGCATAAAGTTTGCAGCTTGTCATGCCAAGACTTATTGCACTATTACAAAAAACGCTTTCATTGGTTAGAAGTATGATTTGATAGTGACAAGTGCAAAAAATAATTTCATGTGACAGAAAAACCTTATTAGAAAATGATTATAGTGAGAGTGATTTCAATGCAACAAATTTATTTTACCTCTGAGTGCCTAGTAATAGCCTGAGAAACCATACAAATGATTGATTGTGCTAATTGGTTATTTCCCTTGCATAAGGAATGTATCAAATTTCTCGTCTGCTGTAGATTTATGTTGTCTTTAATTTGTTGATATAAAAATGAAAATCCCTAAAAATATAGTTTTCTTACATGAAAACAGAATACAACAAATATTATTTGTGCACTACCTTTCCTCCAGCTACAGCATTATAATCTCGTTCACTAAGATTTAATTTCATATTGGAATCCCTGCTCTTTTCAACCAAAGAAGCAATGAGAGTTATCATCTTATCTAAAGAGGCAGGTTTATACTTAACGGAGGGTAAGGCAACCATATCATCTTCATCTTCTCCTTCACTTACATCAACCTAAAAGAAATAAAAAGCAAGAGAATGGTATATGAGAAAATATGAGTTTACCTACAAAATCGTTAACCTTTTGTCCTAAATAAAAATGTACCACAGTACTAATTGCTCCCACGGCCAACAAAAATCTGGACTCTTCTTCTCCCATTTTACTAAATTCATACAAAAAATTAAAATATTCAGTTAAATGTTTTAAATGTGCTTTTGCCCCATTTTCCATCTAAAACAGAAAACCGCTTATGATAAAGGTTTACGATTTTTATATTCATTACCAATGAAAGAAGAGTTTTTACAAATTTCGTTACGCATGACGCATTGCCTATCTTAGATATATCCACACTGTTAATATCTGTTGCTAAATCAACATCCTCATCTAACTTTAAATATAAACTAGAGTGAGATTGCCTAAAACAGATAAAAAATGAAAAACAATACACAAAGATTGGTTGCAGCAATAAATATTGTGAAGAATGTTGAAGTTACCCCATACTCACTTTAACCTTTGGATTACATGAATGCAAAGTCTTTGAAACATTTGTCTCACCATTTGGTTTGGGCATTTAAGTAACACTTGTACTGGCCACCACACATCTTTTGCCATATGCTCCAAAAACCAAATACATGCTTCTTGACAAGCGTTAAATTGTTTTGTTACTAATTCTACCCACTGGACCATAGTTGGCTGAAAAAAAATTCACTGTACATATTTCATTAATTGTTATATCCACTAAAAATGATTATAACTTTTCAAAATATATTTATTGACATTTCCGCGAAAAAGTAAAGAGGATTTAGCTTTTTCTTCGGGGTTGTAATAAAAAATATATGTTAAATGCTGTTTAAAAATGTCAATGGAATGCGAAAATTGATTAAAGTAGGACTTTGGACCTCTAAAAGTTTTAAAATAAAGTACAAAATTCGAAAATTTCGGTGTAACCCATCTTCCTTCAAATTGCTTTCAATAAAGAGCAATGATTCTTAAATGTAACGGCAGTTTTACCAGTTAGAAGATTTAATAACACTTACTTTTTCTTTGGCGTGTATAAAAGTTTCTATGAAAAACGAAGTAGACAGTTGTGCGGCTTTCTCCGTGATATTTGGTTCAATCGGCAGAATGGTTTGAGGAATATATCCACACATTTGCCACATAAAACTAAAAAACAATTTGCAATAAGATTAATAAATATATGATATTTATGAAATTTAACTGTGTATTTTTCCTAAGTTTTATGTAGAAATGGACTGCCCATAAAATTAATGAATAAATAAGTAAATGAGGAAATTTGTGTATGGTGGGCGATAAGGAGATACATACATCAATACAACTGTATGTATAAAAAAATTTGTTACCACTTTTACAGAATAGTTCAAATTCGATACTACAGCTTAATCCTTTCAGAAATTATCTTAACTTAAATCCCACTAAAACTAATACAATACCTGTTGCTGGAAAGCATAAACAATCTAAAAAACCTATCTAGATAAACAATGTCGCTTTGGATTTTTTTTCCAATTCTTTTGCTTAGATTTAATTGGCCACAATTTGCGAACAATAGGCGCCTCACTGAACAAATCGGCTTTACAATCGGTATTACAAAAAACAGAATCAACTCACTTGAAATATGTGTGTTCAAAAATATTCTTATCCTGAATAAAATGCATATTATCTTGCCATATCCAGTCTTCCAATTCTTTACTTAACTCAAACGTTGTTGATGGTAATGGGGAATTGCTACGAACATGTTCACTGGATTCTAAATTAGTTGAAGAACTTTCAGTACTATCAACTGCTGTCATTGGACATCTACAAAATAAGATTTGCCACCAACGCAATGACTTCTATTGCTGTATTTCCTTTCATTTATGATAATGAAAAGAATATCAGTAGCGGATCTATTTAAAAGGTTCAATACAAACCTTTCATAAAACAGCATGTAAGCACTATTTGTCTTTTCAAAGCTAAAATCCATAAACTTGTCGGTAACACTATCATAAGTTTTGCTTGTCATCTCCCCACCAAAACACTCAGCAGCTATTTGATTAGGATCAAATGGTTTAACTTCTGCGTCATTAAAGAGAAACCATTTGTCTCTAGAAGTGGTTGTTCGGTCCTTAATGAAACTATAGTAATGGCCTCCATCTGCAGTACCTAAGAATTGAGATACAGACTATAAGTTTCAGTTTAGCATAGTTTCTTATAATAGTTTAATGAACAAATAAAAATAACATATTTTACAAGAGTAAAATATAAATTTACATAAATACTATAAAAATCATTTTACGTGTATATAAAATAAGTTGCTCCCACATTTCATTTGTCAGATATTTACTAGTTCTACGTCATACATTCTAAGTGGCGCTAAAACCCCAACTGATGCCAATTTTTTTAAAATGAAACGCCCAGACCTTCACAGTTAAAAAAAAATGCTACCAATATTCTTAATGCAACTGGAATTATTTCGGATTTTCTTTTCTTTAAAAAGGGGGAACAAAATATATTAAAGGAAAATTATAGAATTAGGTACAAATATCCAAAATAAATGTCATAGTTGATATAGTTTTTTTTTATACAACCAAATTCTACGACTTACCTGTGTGAACAGTAACTCCTATTAAATCATATTCATATTGCCCAGTTTCGATATCTACAGTCTCATGGTCCTGCTGATGTTGTTGTGGCATAAGTTGTTTTTCCACATAACCAGCCATATTTAATCTTAAAGGAAATGAAAAATGTGTATTGACTTTCTCCTTTAACATTGTAAGCATGTTAAATGTGTAACGCATTGTATTAAAACATAAAATTTGCGGTAACTTCTTAAAACAAGCTCTTTTTTCCGCTCGAACTTTTTTTCCACATTGAGAACATGTGTACATATTATCTCCCTCCAGAGTATCTTTCACTGTCACTTCATCTAATGATTCATAAAGGTTTCTCATATCAGCCACCTGTAAAACATTGAATCTATTATCTTTATTATTAACTTTATTAGAAAGCTAATAAAGATTAAACTAAAATTAATTATGTCTAACCTGACAACGCACTGTGTAGAACTCTTCCAATGTTCTACTAACATGACCACAGTCCAAAGAAACTACATTGTTACTAATAACACCACAAAACAACTTTTTTACCACTTCCTTGAGTTTAGGTGTCATTTCCTCCAGTTTACTAACTAAATCGATAAAAAATTCTGCCATGTCCTTTTGTTCAGCGGTATTTAATGGCTGATGGTCCATGGTATAAACCTAAAAACCCTGAATCAGATCAATAATAAAGAGGACAACACACACTTAAAATAAAAAAAAAAAACGCTTTTAGCCGGTTTTCTCTAAAACACCTATGAATTTTAGGTTTTGGAACATTTGCAAAATAGTGTCGCTGCAGTTTCGGTGGACAAGCAAATGATATTCTATCTACAAGAAACCCAACAAGGGATAAAACGCCTAAAATCTGGCAACATATACAAAACCTTAATTAAGCCCTCGTAAATATTAAAAAGAAAAAGACTAGTCTCCAAACTTTTTCGCACAAGAACGTGTTTAACAATCCACAGAATAAACATTTATCAGAGATGATAAAAAAAAACAAACAAGTAAATAAATTATCGGGTGTTATGAAATCAACAGTAATTGAATAGATCTTCCTTGAACTCAAAACTTAAAAAACATCATTTAAATCTTAGGATTAGAAGTAACAATCTCAATAAAAAAGAATGGTGGTGATGGGGAAGTGTCGCTTCTGGACGAAAACTTGATGCGCCACGGGGATCGTTTCATGACCTCTGTTATCCTATCTATAACCCGAAAAATATATCTCCAGTGTGATAAAGTTATGCCGAGACTTTCAAAGGCTGGAAGCAAGATGGATGGTGATCATTTCTCGCCCCTTTCTTTATTTTAGTAGTCTCAAAATTTTTTGAACTTGGTAACTGTATTCATGTGCTGTTATATATATTATATGTAGCTTTTATGACAAGTTGGATCTGCTGGGAATATTGTCATTCAATATTCCAAAATGTCCAAATTGTGGCATATTTAGTCTATCAAAGATATATTCTGTCGTTCAGTAACAAACGCTCAAAATGAACAGCTACTATATAACTAACTATATCAGCAAACCTTTTCATCTGCAAAGTACATAATTGAAAATATATAATTTAATGCTAATATATGGAACTATGATCATACATACTTTACAAAAACTTCTAGGATTGTACGCCTTCCGTTCACTTTCTAATAAATATGCAAACATTCTTTGTAGTTCTTTTAAAGTTGGTTCATGCTTGGAATCTTCTGTGCTTGCAGCTAATATTGAGACTCGCGCTTGGGGCATCATATAGAGGTGTTGCATGCAAGAAGCCATGTAACAGGTAGCTCCCAAATTTGTTAAGCCCACATAGCCACATTCCGAACGCCCATCCTCATGAGGCCAGTAATCCCATGGATATGGAGAGTTTGGACCTTGGATGTAGTTACAGTATATAGTATATATTATTAATAATCTATAAATTTATGTGGACAAAACCAATCCTTTATCAGACATTTGCTATCTAAACAATTTAAAAATTGTTCTACTTTATTTGTTAATTTAATTATATAAGATTTAATAAATCATAAAATTGAGATATTATATTTTTTTACCTGGTTGATGTTGTCTGAGAAGCTTTTCATGTAAAATTCCATAATTTTCTGGGGAGCCCTTTACCAATTCCACCAGTAGATCGAAGGATGCAGTTCTAGATCTGGCCGACTTGCACTTGGGTACATGCCGAAGTTTTGGATTAGGTAATGCAAAAAGGAAATCAAAAACCTGAAAATTTTACAAATCTGTTTTTTAAAATTTCTCTACATTTTTTTTTCAAAGAAACTTCCACAGGCTACTGTAATACTTTTTACAAAACTTCTGGATTCCTCCTGTGTCGGTTTTTGCTGAGTCGAAATTGCTGACGTTTCGCCAATCATCCTGTTGGCTTCTTCAGAGTTTGACTGACTCGTATTTTACTCTGTACCTGTTTATATCATGTTTGAGGGGGGCGCCAATGAGGGGCATAAACACCGTCTCGGATGACTGATTCCCAAATTGGTGACAGGTAGAGACCTGAGTCGCGGTTAAGATTGTTAGGTTGTTTATAGAGTTCTATAGACTCTCCGATTTTTCGTTGGTAGAAGAACTGATGATGAGTTTATTTGTCTTACTCGTAAGGCTCTTTCGTGTTCAATGAGCCTAGTTGATATTTTTCGTTCGGTCTCTCCAATGTATTCTTTGCCGCATATGCATGGAATGCTGTAAACTTCTGGCATCTCAAATGGAATTTTGTCTTTGACGGACCGAATATGTTGAGAGACTTTTGGACAAGTGGTAAATCTGGTTGTCACGCTATAGTTCTTTAGAACTGTTGATATGTGGTCAGTGATGTTTTGAATGTAAGGAAGGACCACAGTGGCAAGTGTAGGATTGCTTTCAGCCTCATTGCTATTGGACGGTTGTGGTGAAGTGTATTTTGTGATGGAAATCTTAACATGTTTATTGTGGAAATTATTAAAGAGAAGAGAAGAGGTAAGGTGTTTTAATTCTGTTTTCAGTGACTCGGGCTGAGATAGTTTTACGGCTCTGAAAACAAGATAGTTGACAACCAATGATTTTTGGGCCAGATGGTGATGTTACCATGCATTAAGGTACCGGTCTGTGCGCGGTCTGTGTGCGTAGGTTTTCTGTAAACACAATGACTCAATGTTAGGTCTGATTTTCTATTGATAAGAATATCTAAGAATGGAAGGTTATTATTAGTTTCCAATTCAATGATAAAATGTATGTTAGGGTGTATAGAGTTTAAATGTCTAAGAAAATCTACTAGGGTTTCTTGACCATGAGGCCAAATAACAAAAGTATCATCGACGTAGCGTTTCCATAACTTTGGTTTTAGATGAAAGGTGTCGAGAGCTTTCTTCTCAAAGTCCTCCATAAATATAGTCGCGATGACTGGTGATAGTCGAGAACCCATAGCTGCTCCCGACGTTTGTTCAAAAATTTGACCGTTATATATATAAGCATTTTTCAATTAAGGTTTGGTTCCAGATTCTCGGATTTTAATATATATGAAATGATGTCGAGAGTGCCAGGAATAGGAACTTTGGTGAAGAGGGATTCTACGTCGAAACTAACTAGAATATCTTGTATACGAAACTGTCAGTTTTCCCTGTAAGGGGTTTTAATAAGGAAGCTTGATATTTTGTTAGAGGATATGTTGGAGAACCAATGGTGCTGACAATAGGTCGAAGGGGTAATCCTGGTTTGTGGATCTTTGGGAGTCCATAGAGAAGAGGAATTTTAGAGTCGTGAGGGGTAACAAATTTTTTCACGGAGTCTGATAGAGAAGAAGCCTTAATAACAAATTTAATCCTACCGGTCACCAATTTGGAAATCAGTCATCCGAGACGGTGTTTATGGCCCTCATTAGCACCCCCCTCAAACATAATATAAGCAGGTACAGAGCAAAATACAAGCCAATTTCAGTCAAGCTCTGATGAAGGCAACAAGGATGATTGGCGAAACGTCAGCAATTTCGACTCAGCAAAAACCGACGCAGGAGGAATCCAGAAGTTTTGTAAAAAGTATTTCTCCACAACTTAAAAAATAGATTTACCTCACTCAGTAGTTCTTGTCCTCCTTTCTGTGTCTGAAATGGCGGCCGATGCTTCAATAAATTTGTTAACAAATTAAGTAATCCTATCAATCCATCATCTTCAATAGTTCTATACCTAGTTTCTAAATAATCTCTAGATAACACTGATTGCGCAATTTTTGAAGTGAGTTCGTTTATGTCTATTACGCAGTTCTGAGGATCTTCAATGCTTTCTCTCACTATTTCTTCTGGCAAGCTGTCTACTAATCTATAAAATATATAGTTTGGTAAAAACAAATATACCTTAATGAATAAAACAGTATGAGCAATGTACTGAGTGAATTAGACCTAACACTAAAGTATGAACATCAACATTTCAAACCTAGACAAAACAATTTAATTGACTGAGTTAACACTACACAAGTGGCAATCATTAACACTTGGATAATAGGAAAATAACGTTTTTTCTCAAGTGAACTTACAAATGATTATCGAAATAACTTACCTTGAAACTAACCAAAAATAGTCCCTACAAGCTGGGCCATAAGGTTCCTTTCCTTCCTCTGTGGGCTGCATTGATTCTATCTTTTGTGGTCTCATGTTTTCAGCTTTGGGAAGATAATTCAGTAACTGCGCCAACATTGGTGCTACAAGAACATGTTCCATATGCTCTCCATTACTTGAAACCCCTAAACAAAGACGATAGATAGCTGAACACACTTCTCTTCTAACCGCTGGTTCTGGATCTTCAAGAACCAGCCTGAAAATATAATGTTAAAATTAGCGTAATTTTTCTCTGTTTAATATAAATTTATAAATATATTAACGCCCAATTCGGAATTGCTAATTACTGGTGGGTTAGATAAATAAAATGTGAAAAGCAATATGAAGAAAAACTACTCCAGTGAATTTAGGCAAATTCATTTAATGCGGTGTAAATATTAAAAAGCTAAGTTAGATCTTGGCGAAACATTTGCGAAGTTGCAATCACAGTTCAACAAATGAAGGGTTGATATCAGGTAATAATTTTCTTTGTCAAAAAAGAATCTCAAAACCGATAATTTGTACTTTCACTTGAATAACTTTCTTTCTAGAAAAAGTTCTGCTAGTAAATTGTATAATATTTACAGATACAGGTTGTTAAAAAAATATAATAAAATGAAATAAACCCACAAAAATTATTTTTTAAAATAGATTTTTTAGAAATTGAGGTAAGGTTATATATTGGTAAATTTATATTGATATTGGTTATTAAGATCAATTGAACTTAAAAATCATAAGGTTTAATTGCAAAATGAAAATGTTTAAATACCAATTATTCAAAAACTTTCAATATTCGAAATATGCAATCTTATACAAATGTTTAATTCTAAATGAGTAATATATATTTAAAAACAATTAGTATAAGTGTGGTAAACGGCATTTAGGTCACAAGTTTATTTAGCAAGAGCGGATCACAGTGAAACCAGTGTTTAATAAAGTTTAATAAACAAGTGACTTAAAAAGTTGACCAAAATATTGCATACTATATTTTTTTTACGACCATTAGTTTTTGAGTACATTTTTGCAAAACACGAATACATTCACTGACATGACCGTCAGAATTAATAAACGTCGAAATTCTAACCCTGCGGTAAAATCTCCGAAAACATCCGATTGCTCCCAAACCCTTGCGATAATATAGCCGAGGTGGCTCGCGTCCGTGGACAACGAAGCTGACGTGATAAAATGACACTTTCCGCACTCTAGATTGCTGTATAATTAGGTAATTTACAGAACAGAAAAAAGTGTTTTCGGCGATTTTTTTCAATTTTCTTTTTTTTTCATCAACTTGTATCATAATTATAAAAAATTAGTTACCCATATTTGTTAAATCGCATTTTTTCTACAAGAAAAGTTACTTAATTGACATTTGTAGGAAACAGTACAATTTATAAATAAATCTTAATAAAAGAAATTATTTTGAACTGCGATCAAAATTGGAGTTGCAAACTTTATTTAAATAGAAACTCTTGCACCTGATTAAAATATTCTATATATATATATATATATATATATATATATATATATATATATATATATATATATATATATATATATATATATATATATATATATATATATATATATATATATATATATATATATATATATATATATATATATATATATATATATATATATATATATATATATATATATATATATATATATATATATATATATATATATATATATATATATATATATATATATAATGTATAATATATATATATATTATATATATATATATATATATATATATATATATAATATATATATATATATATATATATATATATATATATATATATATATATATATATATATATATATATATATATATATATATATATATATATATATATATATATATATATATATATATATATATATATATATATATATAATGTATATATATATATATATATATATATATATATATATATATATATATATATACACTTCGAACACTGGTGTTTTCGGAGCGCAGGCATTGAAGATGTCAAGTGAGATTTTGGCGAAACGTCTGCAGGATTCCAGTCGAGAGTTCAACAAGCGAACGGATGATATTCCGGAATATAGTGTCATCACATTTTTCCATCCGTGAATCAATACGTGAGAATATATATATATATATATATATATATATATATATATATATATATATATATATATATATATATATATATATATATATATATATATGTATGTGTGTTCTTTTCAATTTCGATAAAATGCAATAATTACTATTATAATGATTATGAAAATTTGAGTGTCTTCAATCCAAACTTACAAGCTCTAAGTTGATCTTAATTTTTGTGAGATTTTCAATATTTACAACTTTACCTCTGCATCCAAACAGAAAAATCTTCGGAATCAAATAATCCTTGTCTCGCTTCTTCACTGCAATGTAACCATGATACTAAAAGAGACATAGCGTAGTGGATGACCTGCGCTCTTCCCCAAAACCCAGTCTTATACAGGTTTGGATCTTTTGGTGATGATGCTTCTTTCAAAATACTGGTCAACTTAGGCATAGTCATTTGAACATTCACCATTAATAACATAGTTTCATTTAAACTAGGTATAACTATTTTATCATTTCTGGATGATCTATGTTCATGAGGCAAGTGTTCAACTCCTAAAAAACACAAAATCTTCAAGAGATGGGCCAAACAATCTTGCTGCCAGTCGCTACAATCAGCTCCGTTTCTTTGCAGTACCCCGGACATAAAAATGTCATATAAATATCGAAGTCCTCCATGCTGAATGAATTTTCGAGTCCATGGTTGACCTTCATCTTCCATAGATTTACTTTGACATCTAATGCTTAATGATTCCACAATATACAAAGAATACATTAGTTTTTGAGCGCTTGAAGGATCCAACAATTCAGATAAGGGTGTGTCCAGCTGTTTAAAACCTTGAAGCAACTTTGGACTAGTTGGCATAAGACTCAGTATGTCCCACACTCTCCTACTTAAAACTTGCGCTTTGGTATGTGGTATTACTCTCCCACCTTTAACAACAATTTTCATTGAACTTAGGGTATGCATTAAAGAAAACAATTGTTCAAAGTAAGTTGGCTGTAGTAATAAAAGAGTTGGTAAACTATCTCTTGGAGGCGCAACTTGCATTGAAGGAGCATCTAAAAACTCCCTTTTTTTCATATTCCTCGACATTCCCACTGATATGTAGACCATTTGGTTATCTTTAAAACCCATTTCTTGTAGCGTTTTTTCATCACAGTCTATAGTAAGCTCCTGGCCTTGGGTAATTATCCTAATCCATGTATCTGGACTTTTTTTAGCACTAAACAAGTTTTGATTATCGGAATCATCCTGAGTTTTAATTTTCTGAACTCCTTCATTCCATTTCACAATTTCAGCTCGTAAATCCGCAACATAGTCTGATATTAATAAATCTAGAAAACATCTTTCAGAGGAACTACCAGATTGAACAATTATTCTGATTAGAGTGCTTGATTTTTCGCCCAAAGATGCTGAATGGCTTCCTATAGCTCTACCTTCCAATGCCCATTTTCTTAAATGATAGGCATAACTAAAACAGAAATAAACAGGTACTTTTTGATCCACATACATAATGTGTATTTTTCTTATTTCTTATTTGCAAAGATAAAAAAGTTTTTTGCATTACTTCACAATGCATGTGTGCTTTGTTGAAAAAATTAAATGAAATTGCATTAGTTTTTACGACATACTATATATGCGCTAGTGAACTTGGCATACGTGTTTCCATTTTGAATTTAAAGACAAAAAAAAATGATATTGCTCGGGAAATTAAAATATCCATTTGAAAAACACGGTAATTGTAATAAATTGAATATTCAAGAAAACCAACAAACACTGGACACACTGTTATATGGGCAATTCAGCTTACCGTCTTCTAAAAGTTTCTATATGAGTCTTCATGAGCAAAAGTGCCCTTTGGATGCACAACAATGAAGCTTCTTCATTAGAACTGCTTACAATTAAATCTTCTGAAGCTGCTTTAAGATGAGTCATACACTGCGCTACAAACTGACTTTCATGTTGAAGATTTTGACCCATATAATAACTGTTGATGTATTGAATCGAAGCCATACTAACATCTACAATAAACACAATATAAAACTTAAGGGAGTAGTTTTTAAACAAAATATTTGCAAAACTGAAGAGCATTAAAATATTGCCGCAACTGTTGATGTGAACTTTAAATATTTATTTTACAGCGCATAACTATTTTGAATTTTACTAAAAAAGTGGCAATGGCAATTATTTGTATGTAAATGTAAAGCCGCTTTACGAAACAACACCAAGAAGAACTGATCTGAATTGACACATTTAACCAATAATAAATTTAATATTCACTTCCAATATCTAGACCCTGGCATGTCTGATAAAAGGTGCGGGAAACTCAAGAAAATAAAAATTGCTCAACTTTACCGGTGCTATTGGCTTTTAATGCTATTTTCCACATATGATCCATTCCTATGTTCCCATTTTCTTTGTCCCCTTCAGTATCCACATTGCTGGTCAAAAGCGTATGTAGACTACACAAGTGTTGAAAGAGGCTTAGGCAAATCATACTAAATTTTTCAGGCGCCAAACTTGGGAGATGATGCAAATATAATCTTCTAAGTGCATCAATCTTCAAAGCATGAAGTTCATTTGCTTTGATTTGTGATAACAACCAACTAAACAGCTCATCTGCGCACTCACTATCATGTGCAAGACATTGCCACAAGATATCAACTTGGTCTATGCTTAACCTAGAAATTGAAAATTCAATTGCTCACATTTTCCAGTTTTTGTTTTTATTGTGGGATATCTCAATACTCAACTCGACTTTCGTTATGTTTTTTTTAAAGAAATACCCTGTATGTATTTTTCAAATTTTGTTTGCGGTTTTTCAAAAACGTGTATTTTTTTAAATAAACATATATAAAAATATATATTTATATCGACAATATACAATGAGTCCCAGATTCGGTTCACAATGTGTCACAGATTCGCTTCTCTATACAGTGATCTCCGCGCCTATTATGCGTACAGCAAAGGTTAAATGGGGAAAGTTTTAGAGGAAACTTAATGCATTTGATAACCGGTTTCAGCTTTACCATCGGTCAATTGGTTTGGAAAATATCGGCGAAAAATCGAAAATGTGATATTGTTGAGACACTTTTTAAAGACGAGTAAGGTAAGCAATCGACTTTTGTTATCTCACAACCCGCCTTAACTTTAATTTTTCTTATGGTCTATTTTTTAATATGTCGAAAGAGCGTAAAATATCCAGTTTAGCAATGTCTCACAAGTGCACAATAGTATATTATGCAACAAGTGGGATAAATGTTTTTAGGTACATTTTTGCAAAACACGAGTACATTCACTGACATGACCGTCACGGAAATGTCCGAAGTGGCTAGGATACGTAGGAAACGAAACTGACGTGGTAAAATTACACTTTCGGCACGCTGGATCCGTGTATACAATTAGGTATTTTACAGAAGGGAGTACAAAGAAAAAAGAAATTTCGTTAATTTAATTAACACTTGAACAACCTACAAGTTTGATAAAAACTGAAAAATAAAAACGTAACAGCAATAATTTACAAGTAATGTAATCTAAAATCTAATTACACAGATTTGCAAAATGACGTCCATTTGCATCCAGATATTTTTAGCAATTGGCGACGATTTTTCGTACAAGTGTACTTTCGTTAATGTTTCTAAATGTCTCCAAAACCCTTTGTCGCATCCAAGGGCGAAAATAATTTTTCTTCGAACCGCTCGCTTAAGTTCCGAACTTGAATATTTTTAAATTTATGATGTTAATAAGAGAAAACGTACTACTTATTACTATACTACTATTTACAAATAATTAAGACCCAACTTTACGAAGTGTTATAAAATCTTTTGTGTCCTTGTGAGACATCACTGAACTGTAAATTTTACACTCTTTCCAAAAATCGAAAAATCTAATATTTCGATCATAATAAAAATGAAAGTTAAGGGGGGTCGCAAGATAACAAATGACGAGATTGAGACATGTCATGCACGCCATTTTACTCCTTCTAAACAAGTGTCTCAACAATATCACATTTTGACCGCTGCTAATTTAACCTTTTTGGATTTACTGTAGAAAAACGAAATCGTAAATCTGAAGCCGGTTATCAAGAACTTCCTCTAAAACTTTCTCCATTGAATCTTTGCTGTATATATAATGAGAACAGAAATCCCTGTGTAGACAGGCAAATCTGAGACACATCGTATTTAAAAAAAGAAGAATTTGCAGACTATGCGAAAAATGTCTGGAAGCTGATGGAAATCATTGTGAACAATTTTTTTTTATGTTTATCATTTATTGCATTCTGCGGATTGTATTTTTTTTGATAATAATGATATAACAATAGTTATAATAATATTAATAAAAATAATAACAATAATAATATGTTCAGGATTAGGATAAATTAGGATAAAATAGAAAAATATTTTCGAAAATGCGAAAATATATGTGTAACATGTTAACATAACTACAGCTGCTTTCTTAAAAAATCTCTTGTGCAAAAATCTTAGTAGGCCACTGGATTTTCATATAAAGATCTATAACATTCGATTGTCCTAATTTAATTACAGGGTGTTTGCAATGCAAAGGGTAACTCAAATGGCCAAATTTTCTGTTTTACCCTGCGACTGTTTGAGAAGGGCACGCATCTTTTGGTTCATAAAAATCGAGCGCAGTTGTGCGACAACCGCATCCTCCTATCTCCAATAATAATAGAGATATCCCGCAATAACAACAAAAAATGGCCACACTACATTGTGTATATAACGCAACGCTTTATGTGCTCAAGAAATCTATCGCTGTAGTGTGATGTTGAAGATTATTTTTCTTTGATTTGATAAAAAAAAGTTTAAAGGTCTTTGATATGGCGCAATTAAGATTGCAATGTAATACAAGGCGCAAGAAATATTGCCCACGGGCATGAGCGGTTGACAGCCAGTTGAAGGATTCATGCAAGACCTTCATGCAATTTCGATCGTCGGCGCCATTTTTTCTTGCCTACATGTTTTGCAATTCTGGGGACAACTCTAGTAATTTTTGTGTTACCAACCCACTAAATGTCCATGTTATGAAATACAAGTGAAAGATTATTTGACTAGTGGTCAAAGGTTTGAGATTAGCAACACTGGTTACATTCAGGTTATCTGTTTGATATTGGTAGTTATATATGTAAGATTTATTGCGCCATGTCAAATGACCAGGAGTTTTACTTACTACATGATTAAATTTACTTACTTGAATGCATTTGATGACACCATTGGAGAAAATATTGCAGATAAAAAATGAAGTCGGACCTGAACCTGCATTTGGTGACTATATAATGGCAAAGATTCATTGGGATTTTCCGTGTAAGTTTTGAGGTTATTAAAAAAGTGGTTCATCATATGGTGCTGCTTTTCTGCCCAGTTTGTAACATGATGCATTTCAAGTCCTCGGAAAGATGTTAAAAGCTTTGGTAACATTCTTAGGGACACAATAACAGATACATTGTTTGCTAGGTTATTCAAGCAACCTGTAATGTGAGTTAAAGAATTAAAGGAAATACGGCGTAAAAGTATACCTTACCTTCAATAAATTTCATACGGATCTCTTTATCTGGCATAAAACATATCAGATTACAAAGTATTTTTTCCGCTTCTAAAGCTAAACCTTCACCCAATTGACAAATTTTATTGTCTTGCAGCAAATCCCATAACAATGTATTACCGGGCTGACATACGTTGTCCGGTTTAAAACTCGCAGCCAATCTTAAATCCATTCTTATTGGAGAAGACGACTGAAAATAAAATGTTGTGAATAACTAAATTACTGGTAAGGGCAAGTAAATATTAAACTACTGACAATTTTTATTATCACATTATTTTGCAGAAATAAAAATCTGGTTTCCCCACCATAAGTAGAAAATTTTTATCGCTGAAGTCTGAGCTATCTATTTAAGCATTAACCTAAGCTAAGAAAAGGTGGACGCATTATGATAGACTGAACAAACTCAAAAAATAAAATGAAAATGTCGATGTCGATAAAAGAAATACCGTATAATGCTGACACTTACACATTGGGAAGACTAATAAATGTTTTATTTAATTTGCCAAGGACATTTCATAATAATGAATTTTTTCTAGAAATGAGTGAAAAACTTTTATGTGTTTATAGCACAAACTAAACTAGTCAGCCCCTTCAATAAGATACCACTCATTTACCAAATGGTGACATAGATATATTTAGCATTCAGATTAGGATAAGTTCATTCAAACTTGCAAAATAAATCTTCAGTAAACATTATCAAATTTACTATAAATCTTATAAAATGCAAATTTTATTATTATGTTAAACAAAAAAATATATAGCTGATTTTAACCTCTCTCGTCTCACCAGGAAGAAAAAAATGCATTGATAAAATGTACCTGAAGCTAAAACAAAATCAATCTTACAAATATAATCTACAAATATTGGTAGACATACCTTTTCAGCTGAATGTGAAATAATATGTAAATTAAGATTAGGATGCTGCTCTGTTAGTTGAGCCAGTTCTTCTTCACATACTGAATCTTCACCATCAAAATCAGCCATATTTTTCTCAGACTTATTACTCATCCGCGAGGAGTAACTTCCTTCAGCATCACCTACAGATAAATAACCATAAGCAAAGCTGGAATTACTGACAATTCTACTAACCTTCTACTTCAGCTTCTTCACCACTCAACATTTCTAGTATATGCCCGGCACTTGGCAGAGTAATATAGTTGCTGCAAGTAGCTTGAACGTTATGTTCTTCCCCACCTAATTCGCTACAAGATGAACTTTCTTCTAAATAAACAGACGGTTTTAAATTGGTTTCAACCTAAAACGACACTCAATGAAATCAACAGATTAATTTAAATAGCGTTTTCCTTAAAAACCTTTTCAACATTCACTAATGAGCTGATCTGAGCTGGTAATACATCAGACGACACATTGTCCTTCAAAGTTTTAACTTCATATTCACTATCAATATCTACTTCACCAAGCGTCTCAATACCTGTTAATCTAGTTGTGCCACGCTTGCTATTTTTATGTCTTTTTGCTCGTGCCTTTCTTAGAAACTTTTTTCTAAAACAATAACATTTTTTATAATAATCTAGTAGTAAAAAAACAATAATAGTTCTCCACAATTTGGATTGTGCACTAAGTTTCATCAATGAGGTATCACTTCATAAATGAGTCATCCAATCCGCACTAACAATAGAATTTATCCAAAAAATTGTATTTTCTTATTTATTTTTACAATAATAACAATCATTTTTAACAACACACTCCATAATTTATAATTCTGTCGGACTTCAATATTCTTTGTCTAATTCCAGAACTATTTTGCTGGTCGTCCTCACATAGTCTTCAGTAATTTATTTTCCAGTTTTTAATCTTCCTTAATTATTTTCCAATAATGCCAACTTGAGGTAAAGCACACGGTCTTAAATCAGTTCAGGATTTCAAAAAAATCTTCAATAACTGTACTGATTTTTTTTCCAATTTTAATTAATATTATACTCCATAAATCCAGTAGTGTTGTGTTGTATTAGTGCTACAATCCTCTAAATTCTAAAGTACTTTAATCAAAGGCAGCCAAAATAACTCTTTTTGGGGATACCATCATTGATGAAACAGAACATGCACAATCCAAACAGTGTAGCCTGAGTTGAAGAGACTACTTTAATTTGTCTAACCACATTCAAGGTATTCACTACAAGCTCTTCAACAAGACATGTCTAAAAGTCATAATAAATGGTTTCACCTTTTCCTGATTTTATTAGGAGTTTCTTCAATATCAGCTTCATCCTGACTGCTACTAGACCCTATAGCTTCTACCCCTTCAGGCAATACACTGATGCTTGATAATATTTTCTTTCTGAGGTGAGCTCGTTTATCACTTCTTGTTTTTACTGTAGAGGGCCATTCCACTTTCTCTTTAATTGTTGTTTTGATAGGAACGCCATCAATTTCGGTATCTGTACTACTATTGCTACCAACATCGCAGTGCACTCTTTCAATCAGTTGCTTCCTATGAAGAAATTTTTAATAGCAATATTTCTTCTATTTCTCGAAACACAAATATATTTTTATTTGATTAACACATTTTGAATCTTTAAAAAAATTGACACACACATAGACGCTGAAAGCTTGGGATCATTAAGTTGGAAACGTTTTGAATTTAGCACTACAGGAGTATGTTAACAACTCTTTGGAAGGTAAGAGTAACAAACGAAGTACCCCAGAGAATAGATAGCGAGAGAAACACAGCTGTTATATTTAATAAAACTAAGGAAAACAGCATATTTGGGTCTTCTTCTTCGGAACAAAAACTTCCAATTCCTATAATCAAAGGAAAACGAAGTTCAAGAGGAAAGCGACTATTTTATTTGAGAAATATCAGTGGAATAACCTGAATTTTTGCGTATTTGGTCGCCAATCATTGATGAAAGCGGCACATAAAGAAATAAACAAAATTCTATTAAACACATCTCCCTCGCATCTCACCCCAAAGGTGAATGTGTTATTCTAATTGCTTTTTCAGTAAACGCTTGCGACGGATTAATTTTCTCCAACGTTCTACATATTCCATGTTCCATCCATAGCTGAATGCGAAGTCACTCGTTTTTGGTTAATTCTAGCTTCTTTTAAGCAAGCGAGAAATTAATTACATACGTCAAATAGTTCGTTTTCCAGTCACCAGCAATATCTTACTCGACGACAGGCATAATATTTATTGCAGATTAAGGCGACATCAAAGTATTAAATACATAACCTAAACAAGGTCAACATATGGCTGATCAACACCACCACAATCAACAACAACACAGCTATCGCAATTCCCGGTTCTTTAAAGACGATTGGACATTGGTTAATATAACTTTAAGAAGTCCCTAATAAAAGTAGCCAATGTGTCACAGAGTTACAGAAAAAAGTCGCTATTAATTGTATATCTCGTGTTTGTTCTGTGTGAGTAGAAACTGATTCAAAGAAAAAAACAAATCATTCTTAAAATGTGGTGGAAACCCACAGTCAACATAAACGTAGACTTATGAATGATTTGGTTTTCATTTTTCATGTTTGGTGTCGCAAATCGCAAATAGCAAACAACTAAAATATGAAATGTCAAAAATTTTAACACTAACACTACCCTAGTTAAATGAGCTAAGGATAATGATTTGCGTTTAGAATATAATTGTGTGTGCGCCCCGAAATATTAGCACTTATCAGATCTCCCGGATACTTTGAAGTCAGTAGATCTGATTAAAATCATTCTTCAGAGCTTGTCGAATACCTTAGATGTCTTTGAAATTAAATTATTTTGGTGTGTGATGCTAACATATACCTTAAATCATCTAAGCATTGAACTCTAACAAGAATTATTTCGATCTGAATGTTTGTTTCCTGTTGCTTGTCACAAATGTATAGAATATTCACTTTTGGATACTTATGATTCTCTTAAAGATAAATAGAGATGTCTAATGAAGACAGGGAACAAACAAATATTTATATATATTTATTGCATTATTTCGCACTAGGCATTTTATAAGGTAGACTTAAAAATATATACCTTGCAAGTTTACAAGGTGGAGGACCATTGCCGTCAGCAACTAATTGGGCAACTTCTTCCTCTTCAATTTCAATTTCTTCACTTTCTGATTTGTGACTCTCTGAATGGCCACTGCTCTCGCCATGTTCTTCATCTGAATTACTGGCATCCAAACTGATACTATTTTCAGAAGATATTGCACACTTATGAAGTACTATTCCCGCGTTCGAAGCTGCTACATTGATCAAACCAAGATCTGAAGTTGAACTTCCTGAAAATTTACACACAACCTATGCTGTAATTGAAGTTTCCATTTTAAATAAATGGACTTATATATTTAGTTCATTCAAAAACATATTAATGTTTTTCAGTTACCTCTCGACCAAACTGCTTTAATCAATGCCGAAGCAAGATATAGAGTTTGTTCTGTGTGCTCTTTAGGCTCCAATCTGGTGAGTAAATTATATAGATGAATTGTTGGAGCAGCTGCTAAATGTTTCACAAGACCCGGCAATAAATCATGAACTGGTTTAGCACAGTGCTTAAGCTGAGCGGCCGTCCAAATGATGTCCATATGCTCGCAGGTGATTCTCCCTTCCATTGCCAGGAAATTCAAAATTATATGGCTTTGCTTAATGACCTGCATATTTCAAAAACAAAAATAATTAACCATATTTCTGGTTTAGTTTAATTTTTAATTTTGTCCAAAAATTACTTTACTTTACTTTTAGGGCGGAATAAAATCCATTATAAGTTTGAAACTTTTAATATACCAAAATATTTTGATCGTTCTTTTCTTATAAAATTTTTAACTGGTTTACATACAAAGGTCTGGGGTCAAGATGTGAAAATATTTGTGACGATTGCTTAATTCCAAAAAATGTCTTAAAATTGGGTACATTCCTCTGATATCTAACCTATCCGCAGGAAATTCATTCATTCTAGTGAATTTTTAAACATGGCTGTCTGTTGAAATACCATTTGTCCTATTTACGAGAGTGACTTTTAGTTATTATAGTTATTTAACATTGCTAACATAGATTCATCAAAATATAAAAGCCTTTGGATTCCAGTTGTCCAATAGTTATAACAAATTAAATTAAAACTATCACCAATTCAGATATGCAGTTGCGTGGAAATAAATTGCGCAGTTTGTGGAATGTTGCCTAATTTTCATATTAATTAATTAATTAATAACCAAAGATCAGTGCTACACATATTCATATAGGTGAGTAGCTTAGCTACATCTCGCCACCCTCCCATCTTATACTGTTTTATTTCTTATTGTTTATAGATATATAAAGACATGTTTTTATCATTATTATATCCGTCCATTCTGATTGTTACTAGGATTGTAAAAATTTTATTATTCTTAGTTTATACTTTTGTAATTTTATATTTATTTCATTTAAGTGTCTATATTATATATTATTTCGACGCGGTCCTATTATCAAAATTATTTAAGTATTTAAGAAAACAATAAAAATTCACATTTTAAGAAAAATATTTTATCCTAGCTTCTTGACCTGAACATACCTCAACATGTAAATTTGGTCCAAATATATGAGAGATAATGTTATTGTTAATGAGCCAATCTGCCATTTGTCTAGGAACTGCTTCAGCCTCTGGTAGAGTTTCACCAACGCAAATTTCAGCCAGAACACCAATCTGATTATTAATTTGAGTTATTCCAGCTAGTCGCATTGTTAATGTACTAGACGTGAAGTATTTAAAAGCCAGATCTAAGCCTTCCAAATCAAATGCTATGGGAGAATCAAGAGGATCTTTTATAGCATTCCACATAAAATCTGAAAAACAAAAGAGCTTTATTTTAACAAAAACTAAGGGAAAACGGATAATAATAAGATAGATAATGCCCTATCTAAAAATCTACAAATAATCTGACATAAAATGGTACTAAATCATTTTAAGTCAGTAAAAGGTTTCCCCTGATTTAACCTTGCAGAAGTCCTTTAATTATTCCTAATATAATAAAACATGTTCTTAATTACAATTAAAATAATCACAATATGATAGAAATTTTGAATAAGTTGTAATTCTAATAACAAAAATACTATAATAATACTATAAATTTTAGTTTACTCTTCCACTGATTCAGAAATTCAAACCCATTTTTGTTTTTGCTAATTTTGAATAAGTAATAAGAAATTTACAAATGTAACTGTAAACATACCTGCCATGCTTTTAATAGTGGGAGTTCTTAAATCTTGATCTGATAATTTACACATATACCTTAGTACACAGGACCTAAGAGGAACCAACATTGACACCATACTTTTATAATTTAGCCATAACTTCAGGTTACAAACTGCAAAGAACAGTTTTATTATATTTCTGTATAATCTTCTTTTTAATGAATTATGAACTAATATATAACAACTTACCAACAGAAATCATTGCATGGGCAGTAGAAACGGGTAATATATCTGAAGAAAGATGAGTAAAACAGTTTGTCATAGCTAACAATCCTCCAATTTTACAAAACCAACTAACATTTTTTAATAAACAGATAGGGATCTCAGAATCATGCAAATCACAGAACAAATTTAAGTTTGCCATTTCCTGTTGAGTCAAATCATCTATTTTGGATCGAATTGTATGCTTTAAGGCAACATATAAAGGAAAGTTTAGCAAAAACACCTTTGACACCAAAATAAGCAGTTTGTCTCTTTCGATAATCTCAATATTTTCTTTTTCATCCTCTTTAGAATCTTTTTTGTCCTTCGAGTCATCTTGTTGCTCATCTTTTTTCTTTACTTCTTCTTTGAATCCTAATTTCTTTTCCTTGCCTTTTTTCACAAGTTGTTTGAGTGTTGATACAGCCAAAAAAATTAATCCTTGAATAAGATAGCTAAATCTTTCAATATTTGTCGAATCTCGGTAGAAACACATACACTGCCTGAAAAAATATCATTTATAAATAGAGGGTAATCCAATAATGTGGCAAAGTACTTCTTCTTTAGTTATTACAATTCTGACAAATTGTTTTAATAAATATTGCATAAGGCTAAAGAATGTAAATTTAAAAATAGTTTCAATTATATGGGGTGTTTAACAAAATCGTGGACAAAAAAATTTGAATGGAACCCAATGGCACTCTCAGTTAAAATGGAAACGACGTTGACTTTCGAATTATACCTTATTTATTTATTTGGAATTTTTGAATTTAGGAAATTAGCTTTATACATGATCTGATAAAATATTTTTAAAGAAATATGTTTTTCTATGATCTATAACTATCAATCTGCAGCCTACTTGATCAAGTAATGATTCAAGAAAATCAAGTAATTTTTTTGTGTTGGCTGTCGAGCGGTACTTCTAGTTAAACTATCACAATGTTGCTATTTTTATGCATCTCGTTTCATAAAAGTATGTTAAAATCTAAATGCATTCCAAAACTTAATACCTAATGTATGTTTTAAAAACTTTTATGCATTATGTAAACTTCATATTATCATAATATATAAAAGTATATATAAAGAATGTTTTTGTAATTGTATTAAATTGTAAATGTAGTTTTGATTTAGTTTCAGAATTCAAGATCTTAGTACCTATCTTATCTTTTAACTGTTAAAATTAATATTATTATATATACCTGTCAGATTCTTATATAAATCGATGTTCTTGAAATTGAGTTAAAATGTAAATTTAAAATAACAAAGTAACTACATAACTATATAGCTACTAACAGTATAACTAGAAATCCCATAATTAATAATGTACAAGTAAGTAAAATTGTTAATTTTTAAACTCCAATTTTTTAGAGACTGATTGGTGATTGTGATTGAGTACACCTTAGACATTACATTAGTTCTTTACAAAATTCACATTATTTAAACATGTCAATCTTTCAGTATAATCTTATTGAAAGAGACACTCATTTTGATCCGATAATTTAACCAAGACCATTATAAATCAATTTAAAAATAATATATACATGGCATTAAGTTCGATATTAAAATGTGTTATGATTATATAAAAAAAAATAGCACAACAAACGTGAAGACCAGTACATCATTAAATTTTATTAGATACATTCCTAGGTAAGTTAATAAGTAAAAAATTTGTACCTTGCTGGCCAAGTTTGAACATAAACAAAAGCGGTATCCACGTCTTCCTTCGTTAAAAGAGATTGTTCATTATTTTCTTTCATCTGTGTCTCGTCTAAAAATGTGGAGATATTATTGTATTACTTTCGACTACCTCAAATAAGAAGCTAAAATTCCTAACACTTACAAGAAACCAAAAGCTCGACAAAGTCTGAACATGTTTCGCACATGTTTATTGATATTTTCAGTTAGTCCGGAACATACATATCAATTTTAATACTTAAATATATTCATTATTTAAATATTCTCTTAATCGATTCGACATTATTAAAGACAAGTATACGCCATTTTGGAAGAATTATAGCACAGAATACTAAGGTCAGTTAGTTATTTTTTGCAGAGAAAAAATGTGCAAGGTAAATTGTTCTTCTTCCGCTCAATAACCATTTATTAAGACCAGTTTGGTCCAAGTAGTGAAGTCACATATCCCTTCGAAACAATCGAACTTTTCGTTATTTTTATGTAAAGGTGCAAAAAAAATTCTTAATACACATCTTGACTTAAGCAGGAATATGACTCTGCCAATTCCAGAGAATACCAAGGTTGGATTTATATATCGCACAGAATATCACTTATTTTTGTGTATTTAGGTTATGGTTTTTCGAAATGTATAGACAGTTTCTATCCACGGTGTTTACATCTACTATTTTTCCCATTGTTTCGGCACTGATTGCGAGTTACTGTAAATGTCTAATGTTTGTTTTAAGGTAATTGGAAAATCCATTTTTTACTTCCATTGTGGTAGATAATTGATTTTTTTAGTTGGTTTAGCCCTAACTGGCTGTCATGGAATAATTACTCTGAAGGAATGCTGAGAACCGTCGAAAAAAAAATTCTACAAAGTGAGTAATTTTTTTTAAATAGTGCCCGTGTAATAATTGCAAATGCCATCAATCGCAAACCAATTAATGGGTTGTGTTGCAATTTTTGGAAGTATTAATGAACTAGAACAAAGTATTTTATTATCCTTTATGGTATTTGGTGTCCAAATTCCAAAGTGCAATAATCTAATCTCTATCTGTAATTATAGAATTGGTGAATAAAATTACACTACCGAAAATGAAAAAAGTCTTTCTTAAAATTACCAGCTCATATGCAATCATTTATTTTCAGTTGTTTGCACTCCATATAGAAGTTTTTTCGTTGATATTGGACCAACTGTTGGACCTACAGATAAAATATGGACATTAAGTTTCAATACAGAATCAAAGAAAACCCCAATTGTGTTATTACATGGAGTTGGGGCAGGTGTAGCTCTCTGGTGCATGAATATAGATCCAATTGCAGCAACCAGACCTTTATATATATTTGATATGTTGGGTAGGTAGTCCCACAATTCTTTATTTATTTTTAATTATATAGGGATTTTCTAAACATCATATTATTGAAGGTGGTAATATTTTGATTTTATTAAGGAATAATCAGTTTTTCATCCCATGTAAACAATTTTGCCCATTTTAATAAAAGTTGGTAGAGTTATTTTTATTTATTTATAGACTTATATAGATCACTAGCAAATTAGAGATTTTTTTGACCTAAAGACTGAATGGAACATACAAGAATACAGAAACACTTTAAGAAACAAATAAGTGTTGTTTTTAATGGGTGAATCTGAAAAAAAACAGTTGCCTAAATTTTTATTCAAAAATATGAATAAGGGTTTGCAACAAACAAATCAAAAATCAATCAAACAATGATGATAAAACACCCTCCCATCCCTACACAAAGTAATTAAGGACACCTGCTTATATAAACTTTAGTCAACTTTGTAGTATTAGTTATACAGCCACTAGAGGTATAACGGCCCTACATAAGCCGAAAATACAGCAAATTATGAAACAACTATTACTTGAAGCTGATGTTGGTTCAGTTTGTGATGCTAGAATATCAGTGTCATCAGCATATGTTGCTACTAAAGTAGTTCTTGTTGTTGGTAGGTTTGCTGTATACAAGAGATATAATGTCAATCACACTTCCATGGGGACACCCAAATATATAGGGTTTAGGTCAGTACATTCGCAACCCTGTGTTCCAGGAAGTATCTCATTGTTAAATAAGATTTTAGTAGCTGGAGTGGGGTTGTGGTAGAAGCTTCTTTAATTTGACTTAAATATGCCTAGGTCTTGTGAAATGATCTGGAAAAACGAGTTGTGTGTGAAGAAATCGCTGTTTAGAAACGAAATTCCGCGAAGTGCAGATTAGTGGATCAAATGTAGAGGCATATGCGGAAAATCATTACCTTCTCTACAAAAATATCAATACCGCCTGCGGTGCATCAATTTTTACCTCAGTGGGACCGAGATGGCCGTATTTATCCAAATGTCCATTTGTCCAAATCGTACGGGTGCGTTCAGGTCTGCGCGGGAGGGAAGCCGGCAAAGCTTTTCCGTGGAGAAAGAATTTTCCTCGATAGAAAATAATTACGGTTTGTTTACATTGAAATGTTTTTAAAATATATCTGATAATATTTACAGTGACTCAGCTTAGAAGATTCAGTTGCATTTTAATAAATCAAAGAGCCAAACCTATCATAAATTTGTTCGTTTAAAAGTTGTCAATTATTTTAAATAAAACATTGCGATCATACTAAAATTGTATTTAGGTACCTTTTACTCGGAAAATTGAATACGGCGATTATCACGAATCATGAAAGGTTAATAAAAACGTGTACCCAATTGTTCTCACAGCTAAAATTATCGATGATTTTTAAATTTATTCAATAAGCAATATGATTTATCAATATCTTTATAAAATACTTCAGCTGGGACTATTTTGAGGATATGGTTGTCAATTAAAACACTCTTTATTATGCAAAAAATTAACCAGCTACCTAGCATACCCAAGAATCGAAAAGTAAAAGTTACCTAAGTAGTTATCAGGATAAAAAGTATGAAAAAATTAAAATTGCATTAAAATTTTAGAAAAGAACAGTGCCCATTACCTAGAAACACCTATTTTAAAAGGTCAAATTGTAAAATAAAAATCCCTTAGGTTTAGCTTAAACAATAGCGTAAATTGTTATATCATGTCCAATAAGCAATATGATTTATCAATATCTTCAGCTGCGAGTTTTTTGAGGATATAGTTGTCATTTAAAAAAACTTTGGATTATGCAAAAAATTAACCAGCTACCTAGCATACCCAAGAATCGAAAAGTAAAAGTTACCTAAGTAGTTATCAGGATAAAAAGTATGAAAAAATTAAAATTGCATTAAAATTTTAGAAAAGAACAGCGCCCATTACTTAGAGACACCTATTTTAAAAGGTCAAATTGTAAAATAAAAATCTCTTAGGTTTAGCTTAAACAATAGCGTAAATTGTTATATCATGTCCAATAACCTCTACCTTTTTTCGTAAACTGAAAATTTTATTTTGTTTGTAAGTACACTGTATAGTGGAAACCACCTATATAGATAATTAACCAAAGTAAAATAATTTAACCACATTTTATGAATTAATTTGCTATCTGAGCCGTGTTTACACTTGTATTTTAACATCTCTCTTTATTTGGATAAAAGTTTCGGCCGCTTTCGGGTGTTCGTCGCCGGTGCCTCGGGTGATTTGGACAAATGCACATTATAGCATTTGTGGTTTTGACTACTATATTATCTAATATAGTGGTATGGTTATAACTAACAAAATTTACACATGTTATAAATTAAATTTAACTGGGAATATGGTTGATTATATTTTAGGCTTTGGCAGATCTTCCCGCCCAAATTTTAGTAAGAACTGTATAGAAGCTGAAAATGAAATGGTTAAATCTATAGAAGAATGGCGCAAAGAGATGAATTTGGACAATTTTATTCTACTTGGGCACAGGTGTAAATAATGTTTAAATACTTTTAAAAAATAAACCGATTAAACTACAAAAGAAAAATTCCACAATAATATTTACAATAGTAATAATTAATAATTGTAAATAATATTTTTTCTTTTCATTAGTCTAGGTGGTTTTTTGGCAACATCTTACTGCATTTCCTACCCTAATAAAGTCAAGCATCTCATTTTGTCTGATCCATGGGGATTCCCTGAAAAACCTACAGATAGCCCACAAGTGCCGTTTTGGATAAAAACTGTGGGTCAGGTGGTACAATATTTTAATCCCTTGGTTGGTTTAAGAATGGCAGGACCCTTGGGTGAGTTTTAAAACAATTTTTTTATATATTTTTTTATGTAAAAACTTGACACTGATTTTTTTTTGAGCTGCTTTTTAGAACAAATCTGAGTCATCTTTAACAGGTAGTGGTGGACATATTGTTGTAAAAGGTGACTCATGTTTTTTTTTTTCATTTACACATTGGATAAACATATAGTTGTCCAGTGTCGGAAAAATGTAATTTTTTTGTACAATTAGTATCAACAACTGCTTTCAGAAATATTTCAGTCTCAAAACCTCTCCTAAATCTACCAAGCCCATTGTTTTATAACATTAAATTATGCAAAAATTTGGATTGTGTAAAACTCTGAAAAAGTGTTAATTTCTTAAATTATATATGGTAAACTTCACATCATCATGAGTATTACTGTTCCAAGGTCTTCAAAATAAGTTTATTCTCATATTTTGTGAAACAATTGAGCATATAGGTAGAAAACTAGTTGCAGCAACTCTATGAGACTATGAGATTTTTTCATTTAAGTTTTCTCATTAAAATAGACCTAAATATAATTAATATATATTATGAAAAAATTTTAGGGCCATGGTTTATCAATTTTGTAAGGTCTGATATATCTAAGAAATATTCAGACGTTCTAAGTGATCCTAGTATTATTTCACAATACATCTATCAGTGCAATTCCCAACATCCAAGGTAAGAAACCAGCACCACAACTAGTTGGTGTTCTAGTTAGTGTGATGGGTCTTATATTGAAAATAGCCAATTCATCAAAGAGTAAGTTTTGGCACTTTTATGACCCGAAAATAATTTTCTCAATCCATTAATTTAATTGAAATTTGCATAGAAGAAACTTTTTGACTTATAAATTAAGTCTTTTTATCAAAGAATTCTCTTTTAACATTCATTCAGCTTTTATGTTGATAAATAATCTCTAGTTTTTATTAAAATATAGTGCTTATGAATGAGATATCTCATTTACAATATTTCTGGTCGTTTAAACCTTATTGGAGAACAATAAATCAAAACACTGTTAAAAGTAAAACCATAATACTATCTAATATAATTTCGAATGATATGAATTGGTTTTTTTAATTATATACATTGTACGCAAAAAAACAGAGTAAACATTTATTGTGTTTTTTAATTTTTTTTTCTTTGAATATACCAATAGTGGAGAAAGTGCCTTTCATTCAATGATGTCTTCTTTTGGTTGGGCAAAAAATCCAATGGTTAGAAGGATCAATAAACTACCTATCCAAATTCCTGTAACTTTGTTATATGGCTCAAGATCTTGGCTGGATCATTCTGCAACTGATATAATAAAGTACAAACGATCTGGATCATACTTTAGATTGCAGGTAAGTAATTTGATAATTGTATTGCCAGTTCAAATTCTTGGTGGTTCATTATATTACATGTTTGAAAATGAAAGTTCATACAATAATAGTTATTTATTATTAAACTCACGGCATTGTTTCAGATTGTAACTGGAGCAGGTCATCACATTTATGCAGACAAACCCGAGGCATTCAATCAAATTGTTATTGATGCATGTAATTATACAGACTCAACATCAGATACATCAGATGGCAGCAATTAACATCTCCATTAAATCCCACTAAGGAAAACTTGATAATACATCTGACAGTGTTGACAAATTCCTATAATTTTATTACACCTTTGAGAATACAAATGTACTTATTTATACTGTTATTGTTAAAGTTTTATCTGGTTTTAAGAATTTGTAATAATTGTATACGGTGATCAAATAGCGTTTAAGGTGATTTATCTTGAAAACTACTCATCATGGTTAAAAAGAAGGCTCGATGGGAATACTTGCCAAAATACATTACCGTGTGCCCTTATTTGGCCACACAATACATAATCCATTGTTATGTTTGACACTACTTTAAATATTTATTAAAACTCTAAGCCAATGCAAGCTAGTTCTTGTGTAATGTGACAAATTATTATTTATGTTTTATTTTCAAATAAACTGCGTTGCATATTTTATAAACAAAAAAGTTTTTTTCTACACCATACAGCACTTTAGCCATACGTTTGGGAGCGATGGGATCTTTTCGTCAGATCTTAGCCATGGATGTCATTTTGACGCGTCAGGTCGCAAGTCAGTCAGTATTCAGTATTCACACCTATAAGCTAAAAGATCGTAGAAAAAATATAGTACCAACTGTTTATTATATTTAGCATTATTATAACTGCAAAGGTTTTTACGGTTATGTTGTGCTTCAGATGTAGAATTTAGTCATTGTCATATAGCTATTAGACATATAGAAGCCCTGCCTATGCTAATTGTCCAGGGACTCGTGAAGCAACTATTTCACCAAATTGTGAGGTCTGTTAAATATGCGCATGCGCGATATGTTTTTAACCTATGGCTTTAATTGCAAATTCTGACGTTCGACCCATACGGCTCCCAACAACCAACATGGCCGCTGCCAGGTCATGAATGTTTGGATGCTGCATTTTTACGCCAGTATTTTCTCAAAATATGTCGAAATCCGAAAAAAGGAATTAAGGTGTAGAAAGTGTTGTTAAAAAAATTAGCGACAAGTGCAGAGTTAATATTATGCTAAATTACAGCAGACGGATTGGCATTCTTAGTATAATTCTGTACGTATTTTAGCGTTTTGACACGATAGCAGCTAATTTTTCCCGAATTTGTGCTCGTAAATCGACACAAACAGTTTGTTTTTATAAACTTAGTTCGCGAAATGTGACCCTATAGGTGTAAATATAAGTCTAGTAATTGCAGAAAGTTTCGCCTCCCAAATATCATAATGATATATTTGGGAGGCGAAACTTTTTGTAGTACCAATGGACCATTTCGTTAGTATGTAGGTAGTGGAAAATATAACCAAGAAATTTAAAAACTAGTGTAAAACAAGTCAATAGACAATTAGCTCTAAATGTGACATTACCAAACGCTAAATGTCGTTTAACGTCTCAAATTATAAAAACATTTTGCAGCAAAAATTGCATCGTGGCTCTGCAAAAATGCTCAGATTTTTTTAAAAGCATAAGCTCACATGAAACATTCTAAAATGAAAATTGTTTTATTAAGAAATATTTTTTTCCAGGTGCACACTCTAGTCGTTTTGTAGACAAGATTGTGGTTTATGCTACAATTACAAAACATTAACGACTTTTTTAAAACTAACTTTTTTTAAGCTATTTTCTTTGGAATTTTGAATGTAAACATTTTTACACTTATTATCTTTAAATATATAATAAATATCAAATAAATTGGAAAATAGTATATTACAAAAGCAATGTACAAAAATAATGTTGATATATTTAACTACGTGTTAGGTCTTGCCCACGTATACACATACCCATCTTGGCACGCAGTAACTAAACAATCTGGTCGAAAAGTTAAAGATGTTAAACGTTCATGAGCAATTTTTTTACACACTAATGGTTCTAAAATTGGACACTCATCCAACCTAGGACATGAAGAAGTACCAACAAGTTGTAATGGATCTGATCTCCGTTTTGTTCGGGGTCGTGGTGGTACTAAATTATCTTCAGGCAATTCCCAAAGACAAATTTGGGTGTCATGTCCAACAGAACCTATTCTGTAACACGATTCACCTTCTAGATACCAGTCAAATGCAACTGCAGATACCCAAGATCGATGGCCTTGAGCTCTTGCAATAACTCGTTTTTGTTCATTTGAATACACTGTTACTAAATCATCCTCACCACCCACAGCAATCAACCTACCATCTCCAGACCAGGACAAACATAGCAAACCCCCAAAATATGACCTTGCAATCCCCAGCAATTCCATACTGTCATATTGAAAAACCCTAAGTAGACCATCTTGTGTAACAACAGCTAATTGGGATCCATTAGGACTAAAAGCCAATTCATTTATGGCAGCTCCACTGCCCAGCAGCCAACGAAACAATGGGTTTCTTGTAGATTTAGTTTTACAGGTGTTAACAGTAAAATTTTCACCAGCTTTAAAAGGTTGGTAATGAGGTGCTGTGGAACCACAAGGCAATTCTTCATTGTAAACATAGAACTGGCCTGAAAATTAAGCGAATTTAAAAAAATATATCACTTAATTGTGTGAACAATTTTGTTTAGTCTCAACGGGATTCTCAAATTAATTTTCAATGTTTTAGCATAACAATAGAAAATAAATAAAATAAAAGGTAATTTGTTTCGTCAAAAATCAACTAACAAAAATTAAGCACTAAAAATATGGCGGAAAAATGTTTTTGTTTTTTATTTTAAAAACTAAAATCGAACAATAAAATATTATCGACGTATTACTATTACAAAAACACACTTTAGATTTAGATTATCCCTATAATTGTTCTTAACTAAATTTCAGGAAAAACTTACGGCATGACGTAAAAAAAAAACAAATTTTATATGTTATTTAGAAACTTTTTTGCCTCTTGAAATTTTTCATAATACTTACCGTTCCCAAATAAATAATAACAATGTAAAGCAATGCATAACGAAATAAAAAAATCTAATGGCTAATGGCTGCAGTCAGTTCTTAAGGCGTTTCGTATTATTGCTGTATTTCACAGTTACATAGTTTTAATTTAATAATGTCAACTAAAATTCCTTGAAAGCATAAATCCATGTAGCTGTATGGATATATAGCTACTAGATACATAGAGGCCTGCTTATACGAATAAAACAGGACCTTATGAAGTAACTAAAAAAAAATTGAGGTCCATTCGATATGCGCATGCGCGAGATTTCGTTTTTCACTAATTACGTTCCGAACCTCAACAACCAACATGACCGCTGATAGATCGTCAATAAGTTTAGAAGCGGCATTAAAATATGCCTAGATTTTATTAAATGTTTTGTAAAAACGAGTTAAGCGTGTGGAAATCGTTGTTTTTTCTCTTTACAATTTATTTTTTTATTTGAAAACTAAATTTTATGAAAAAGTTGCAGGGGACTACCCCTATCATTCTTCTTAACCAAATTTTAGGAAAAACTTGAGCAATGATATAAAATATATATATATTTTTATAATACTATTACTAAAAATTAAAACATTATTTTCTGTCATATTTATAGCGCAATATCTCAAGAATGGTTGACCTTTTACCCAAACTTTATATAACAAGCTGCTCTTTATTTTAAACAATTAATCACCCACTTAAGTTTTTCTCATTTGTATTGAATCACTATGTATATCCTAATGTTGTTATACTATACACATACTTTTACACTGTTGTACTTATTATAATTAGAGTGTTATTATTTTAAGTAACCATATTTCTGACAAGTATATAAAAATGTTTGTAAATGTATTTAACTGGGAAAAAATCTCATGGTTCATTAAATCAATTTACAAAAATATAATTCTGGTACCTACCTGACGCATGGGCAGCGAGGAACAGGGATCTACTACCAGGCACCCATTTTAAGCAAGTTACTTTTGTTTTATCAATCAGCCTTTCTTCATTAAAAAGTTTACTTAATTCTTTTTTAACTGGATCAATTAGTTGTATTTGTCCAGTACTAAAACCTATTAATAAGCTAACACTATCAGCAGATGCTGAAGCCACATTGAAATCATGGCAGGTTGGATTTGTCCCTTTATAAATTTTTTTCTCAAGGGGTTTATTTAAGTCAGCAGCTTTTTTAATTCCCTTATAAACATAAACATACAATTCTCTGCCATGATTAAAACAAATTCGATCTCCTTGATCACCAAGAGTTACTAGAGATACACGAACTTGTGGTGCTGTGTGCCCCTGTGGTTGGTATGTTACTCTGTTTGGTCTGGAATATTCACTTAAAGTCATTAGTCTGTAAATCCCCTCTCTGGTCACAAACTGAGTTTTAATGTCACCAGGTTCACCTATTGCTCGTTCTAAAGGTCGATCACTGCCATCCATTAGCGACTGATTGCACATAGTATCTGCTCTTGCCATTTTTGTTTTGTGGCGCAACTGACAAGATAACATTCTACGCAAGCTCAAAACATTTCACTTTGATTTATAATTTAACCCATTTTGCAAGTTTAGATGTTTACATTTTAAGCAATTGCTTCTAAGATAAAGTAAACCTTAAGCCTAAATAAACTTGAGGTTAGAAATACGATATGATCATAGCCACGGACCACGAATAATTTTCATATGTGTTTGACATAACATGCAGCATAAAATTGTGGAAGGGAAATGTTGCTTTTATTCTGTGAAATCACATCCTTGGTTGTATTCGTGGAAAAATTTTGATATAGGTAAGGATCGTAAACCTAATTATTAGGTTTACGATTCTTGGATATGGCTTTTATTCAAATTTTATTTCTCGGCGAAGGAATATGTTGGAGAATAGTTGTCTAAACCAACAAATAAAGGTGTATAAATGCGAATCCATTATCGGCGGCTGTCGCGCATCCCATAAACATACGCCCCAAATTTTGATGGTGCGTATCCATTTTGCATGGCTACGGCGCATATCTGCTGTTTCATTCCGGGAGCGTTCATAGTTTTAAAACAGAAAATGTAGAAGTGCTGCTGGCGCTTTCGTTATTATTAATCATAATATCGAACTCAAGAAATATAAGAAAAAAAGTGCGTTTGATGGGCGGAAGACAACAAAAGGTTCATTTTTGCGCTAATTCATATAGAGCTAATTTTGTATTCACATAATGTCACGCACAGTTGCAGAGATCGTTCAATGGCGCACAACATGCTGATTGACAGGCGACGAAAAACCGACAGCGATCGAAACGGCTCCAGGATTTGGGGGCTCCAACGCGTATCCACTTTGCGCGACTACAGCGCGCTCTAATGTTCGAAGCTTTGGAGCGCGCAGTCGATACTCACCTTAAAGTGAACACAAAAAACACATGCAGCGCAAAGTAAAGACGTTCAATGTTTAACTTCTATATCAACAGAATAATAAAAATTAATCAAAAGTAACTAAATACTTGCTTATTTCTAAACAATTAAAATGCAACCAATAACACCATTGGGCCACCTGTTTTCAATGATGTATTAACAATATTCTTATTTATGACAAATTGTAATAATAATAATAGTAATAATGTCGTTATTCAGCTAAGAAAACCGTCACAAGAACAATTTTCAAGGGTTGCGCACATAGTTGAAACATCTGAGTTTTGAGAAAAAAAAGAAAATAAAAACAACCGAACAAAGATAAAGATATATCTATATGTAAAATAAATCAATTAAGTTATGCCGTCTTAGAATATAAAAGTTAATTAATCTTTTATTGAAAGCAGAAATGGTTCGAGTACCTTTGACATTTGCTGGTAGTTGATTAAAAAGTTTAGGGGCCTGATAAGAGAAGGGATGTTGAAAATAGATAGTGCGATGTATATATATATATATATATATATATATATATATATATATATATATATATATATATATATATATATATATATATATATATATCCTCACGTATTGATTCACGGATGGAAAAATGTGATGACACTATACTCCGGGATATCATCCGTTCGCTCGTTGAACTCCGACTGGAGTGTTCGAAGTGTTTTCGGAGCGCGAGCATTGAAGATGCCAAGTGAGATTTTGGCGAAACGTCTGCAGGATTCCAGTCGGATGCAGGATTTGCAGGATTCCAGTCGGATGCAGGATTCCAGTCGGAGTTCAACGAGCGAACGGATGATATCCCGGAGTATAGTGTCATCATATATATATATATATATATATATATATATATATATATATATATATATATATATATATATATATATATATATATATATATATATATATATATATATATATATATATATATATATATATATATTCACGTATTGATTCACGGATGGAAAAATGTGATGACACTATATTCCGGGATATCATCCGTTCGCTTGCTGAACTCCGACTGGAATCCTGCAGACGTTTCGCCAAAATCTCACTTGGCATCTTCAATGCTCGCGCTCCGAAAGCAGTGTTCGAAGTGTTTTCGAACACTTATATATACGATATATATATATATATATATATATATATATATATATATATATATATATATATATATATATATATATATATATATATGAAAATACTGCCGTTAAAAGGCCACATGCAAACTTATTAACGATCTTGTCAGCGGTCATGTTGATTATTGAAAGTCTAAGCTCATTGGCTAAAAACGAAATTAAAATGTGACGCACGCGCATCTTGAATAGACTTTCTCAAAAAAAAAAAATCATAGTTGCTTCATGGGTTCCTGTATTATCAACATAGATATATCCTTGTAACCATATAGCTACTAGATATCTAGAGGCGCTGTCTATGCTGGTAGTAGTTGTCATATAACTAATTTATTAAGCAACTATAAACAAATTTTATTTTTGAAAAAATCTATTCAATATGCCGATGTGCATATGTATGTGTGTATCATAACCGTGAAAAGCGCATCTAACTCTGTTAGTTTCGCGCTAGTGACGTTGCGCAGCCATAGAAACACAAACATACGAAGTTGGTATGGTTTAATTTTTCGATGCTGTTTTGGTTGTCTATCCTCCAGTATACGAACATATTGAAATCAAAACAAAATCCTGAAATTAACAAAAATATATTATAATTTAAAATCTTGTCATAATTTTGAAATTTTCTTTTAAAATTAATAGAAATAAAAAAGAATATTTCAAAACATTTTTTCACCGGAGACGTCGTTAATTTAGTATTGTCTTCCAGCGTATAGAGGTTTTTTATTAAGCTCTCAAAAAAATGAGAATACTAGATTTCTGGATGATTATAACCCTAAAGTGTCTCACTTAGTTATGTTCATAAGTCATATAGTCGTTGTTTATAATTGCTTAATATAAGAAAGATTTTGAAACCACCAGTTGAATAATTATACAAATTGTAAAAAAGTTCGATTCAACGATGAGTTTTGATGGAAAATAATATTAATTGCGTAGTATAATAATCTTCAATTTTGCGCTAGCATATTACGCAATAGAAAGAACCAAAGATTGTATTGTTTACAATTATACTATTATTAAATTCGCATTAGAGTTAAATACATTAAACCTTTATTGTGATATTATTTTCAATATTTTGTATATGTGACAAATGAATATTCCAATTTATTAATTTTTTTTTTGTTAAAAAATAACACTTTTGCGTCTCGACTTTGGAAGATTCGTATTATTTTTAATATTTATTTTTTTAACAAGTTTTGGACAATTCGGGAAATTCAAGTTAAAAAAGTCAATTCAATTAAGTATTTTCATCTGATTTTTAATGTAATTTTGTTATGGATGCGGATCAATATTTATATTTAGAAAACATTCTGGAACAAAGAAATATACTAGTAAATCCGACGTCAGAAAACGTCACGCCTGGCCAATACTGCCAACATAAAGCGGATGTACTAAAATTTTTAAATTTTTTAACATATTATTTGCATTAGATTTCATGCCTAATTGTGACAAATCTCTGTCGGTTTTTCACGCTGTCTTTATTTTAAATGAAGTAGTAGATCCAATTTTACTTTTAACCGAATGGTTTTCAAAATCGAAAGTGCCTTCATGAATAGTTGTTGTTCTATCGAGATTCAACTAGAAAATTGGAGAGTGGGGGATATAAACTGCATAAAAGCAATTCCAGAAGCAGTGCGGCCTCAATAAGAAGTTGTGAGTGGTTGGAAGCATTTTGCTTTGTGTTTAAATCGATTATTGAGAAGCTCTTTAAGCAGTCATGTAAGTAATTGTTATTTTCATTTAAACATATTTTTGTTTTTTTTTTGCCTGGATATGTTATATTTGTCAGTGCAGATTACATTGATGTTTGGGTGTGGCATTAATATGAATGTTGGAATTACAAACTCTTTATGAGGATTGAAACGACGTTCGTTTTTGACGGTATTTTAAAAATGTGTTAGAGAAAGTTCGAATTTTAAGATTGCGTTTGATAAAAAGTCATTTGACTCAAAATGGCGATTCTCGAGTGTGATACTCGGCTACGCCATTTTATGTGTTCGAGGTATGAATAATTGTGACGTCGCAAAAGACATATTAATTGTGACGCTTTAAATTTTGGTTGACGTTCTTTGTTTGTGGTGGTGTGGTGGTGTTGACGTTTTAAATTTTAAATTTCTGAATAGTCAATGATTCATTGTCATTACTCATGTTAGTATTTCCATGGTAAGCGGGAAACCTCGATGGAACTATTGAGTCATTGATACGAAGCTGGTTTTACACAATGTCTCAGTATTTTAAAGTTATTTTCATTAATAATGGATAAATCAATTAACAAAGTCCAATGTTTCTGTCAAGTCAATTCTTAAACTGATTTGTTGAAGTGGGGGTTATGGTTTCTAATATGTATTGTAATCTGGCGTTGAACGGAGTTGTTTTCCAAATCACAGTTTTAATAATCGTTAATAATTGTAAATCTTTTATTGATAAATACATATTGACATTTTTAAAAGAGCAAGAACGACATAAGGCTTGTTTTTACTAGTTTTTGTGTGCAATGACAAGTTTGTAATAAAACAAAGTGAAATTGCACTGTCAGAGCAAATATTTATTACTTTATTTGGTTGTGAAAAACAGTAAATAATATATCTAAACTATAAACTCATAGGTTTTTCTTTTTCTTTTCAGAATGCAGATATTTGTCAAGACCTTAACTGGTAAGACCATCACTTTGGAGGTGGAACCATCAGATACAATTGAAAACGTTAAAGCCAAAATCCAAGATAAGGAAGGGATTCCTCCAGACCAACAGAGATTGATTTTTGCTGGAAAGCAGTTAGAAGATGGTAGAACATTGTCCGATTATAATATTCAGAAAGAATCAACACTCCACTTGGTATTAAGATTACGAGGAGGGATGCAAATTTTCGTTAAAACTTTAACTGGGAAAACTATAACTCTGGAAGTTGAACCATCTGACACTATTGAAAATGTTAAAGCCAAAATTCAAGACAAGGAAGGAATCCCACCTGATCAGCAAAGGTTGATTTTTGCTGGTAAGCAGTTAGAAGATGGTCGTACATTATCTGACTACAACATTCAAAAGGAGTCTACCCTTCATTTAGTACTCAGGTTAAGAGGCGGTATGCAGATCTTCGTTAAAACATTGACTGGAAAAACAATTACTTTGGAAGTTGAACCATCTGATACTATTGAAAATGTTAAGGCTAAAATTCAAGACAAGGAAGGAATTCCACCAGATCAACAGAGGTTGATCTTTGCTGGTAAGCAATTGGAAGATGGTCGCACTCTCTCAGATTACAATATTCAGAAAGAATCTACTCTTCATTTGGTTCTAAGATTAAGGGGTGGAATGCAAATATTTGTTAAGACATTAACAGGCAAAACCATCACCTTGGAAGTAGAACCCTCCGATACTATTGAAAATGTCAAAGCAAAAATCCAAGATAAAGAAGGAATACCCCCAGATCAACAGAGACTAATTTTTGCGGGCAAGCAGTTAGAAGATGGTCGAACTTTGTCCGATTATAACATCCAAAAAGAATCTACTCTTCATTTGGTACTGCGATTGAGAGGAGGCATGCAAATTTTTGTTAAGACGTTGACTGGTAAGACTATAACATTGGAAGTAGAACCATCCGATACTATCGAAAATGTTAAAGCCAAAATTCAAGATAAAGAAGGTATTCCACCAGACCAACAGAGATTAATTTTTGCGGGAAAGCAGTTGGAGGATGGGCGTACATTGTCTGACTACAATATTCAGAAAGAATCAACACTTCATTTGGTTCTACGATTGCGTGGTGGCATGCAAATATTTGTGAAAACGTTGACTGGAAAAACGATAACTTTGGAAGTTGAACCATCTGACACTATCGAAAATGTTAAAGCTAAAATTCAAGACAAGGAAGGAATCCCACCTGATCAGCAAAGATTGATTTTTGCTGGTAAGCAGTTAGAAGATGGTCGAACTTTGTCCGACTATAACATCCAAAAGGAATCTACTCTTCATTTGGTACTGCGATTGAGAGGAGGCATGCAAATTTTTGTGAAGACGTTGACTGGTAAGACTATAACATTGGAAGTTGAACCATCTGATACTATCGAAAATGTTAAAGCCAAAATTCAAGACAAAGAAGGTATTCCACCAGACCAACAGAGATTAATTTTTGCGGGAAAGCAGTTGGAGGATGGGCGTACATTGTCTGACTACAATATTCAGAAAGAATCAACACTTCATCTGGTTCTACGATTGCGTGGCGGCATGCAAATATTTGTGAAAACATTGACTGGAAAAACGATCACTTTGGAAGTTGAACCATCAGATACCATTGAAAATGTTAAAGCCAAAATTCAGGATAAGGAAGGAATACCCCCAGATCAACAAAGGCTGATTTTTGCGGGCAAACAGTTGGAAGATGGTCGCACTCTCTCTGATTACAATATTCAGAAGGAATCTACTCTTCATTTGGTTCTCAGATTAAGAGGTGGAATGCAGATTTTTGTTAAAACATTAACAGGCAAAACTATTACCTTAGAAGTTGAACCCTCCGATACTATTGAAAACGTCAAAACAAAAATTCAAGACAAGGAAGGCATTCCTCCAGATCAGCAAAGATTAATTTTTGCAGGAAAACAATTAGAAGATGGGCGTACTTTGTCCGATTACAATATTCAAAAGGAATCAACTCTTCATTTGGTACTTAGATTGAGAGGAGGTATGCAGATTTTCGTTAAAACTTTAACTGGTAAAACAATCACTTTGGAAGTAGAACCTTCAGATACTATAGAAAATGTAAAAGCCAAAATACAAGACAAAGAGGGCATTCCACCAGATCAACAAAGGCTCATTTTTGCTGGTAAACAATTAGAAGATGGCCGCACTTTATCTGATTACAACATTCAAAAGGAATCTACTCTTCATTTGGTACTGCGTCTTAGAGGAGGCATGCAAATTTTTGTAAAAACTTTAACTGGAAAAACTATTACCCTAGAAGTAGAACCTTCGGATACCATTGAAAATGTAAAGGCTAAAATTCAAGACAAAGAAGGTATCCCTCCTGACCAACAGAGATTGATCTTTGCTGGTAAGCAACTTGAAGATGGAAGAACACTTTCCGATTATAATATTCAGAAAGAATCTACTCTGCATTTAGTCCTCAGACTCCGAGGTGGGCAATGAAGATGATACAATTAATTACATTTTAATATTTTCAATAAAAATTAATAGATGGATTGAATGAATTTTATTTATGAAATACCTAGTTAGCCTTAGAGATTTTATGATTTATTGAAGAATTATGGTTAGGTTTATATTTAAAAATAAAAGCAATAACACCCCAGATTTGTAATAACGGTCTGTTTAAAAAAAAAAATTGCTTGTATGTGCAATTCCGTTTTCTTTTATTCTTTCATTAATATTGGGAACAGTTTGAAGCAATAAAATGCACATCATGCCTTCAAAGGATTTATTTTTACGAAATTCTACATAAAATACAGTTTTGGATATGAAATTGAAGAACATGACAAAATTTACTATGTCCTAGGCTTTCTGGAAAGCATAAGCGGTAGTTTCAGCTTGGTACTTCTGGGCTCTTGAAACTTTGAATATTTTCTTCGAATTGGAGACTCTTTTTGGTCTATACATTGAATTGAACTGTTCTTGCAGTAGTGTAACTCCATTATATCTTTCAGGAATATGAATTCTCCTTATGTTTCTCGATTTTATATAGAAGGAAGGAAAAAACCTGCAATTTTCTAAAACAATTTTCCTTTTACTACATCAGAACATCAAAATATATTAACCACTTGAATCATAAAACATAACATCTTCCATTTCAATGTTCATGATACCATCCACTGCTACAATTTTTCCAATAACAAGGCATTCATTTCTCAAGTCGATCGTAGTATACTTGTTTTCTAAATTTTTAACTAATCCCGTCAGGGTATTAAAAAACATAAACTGTTCCGACTTAGAGCAATTCCCAATATTAATATTAGCCATACTTGTTGAAAGGTATCTACAAAAATATTACTATTCTCATGGATTAGAAGATCAATGAAGTAGCTGGTATTAATAACAGTAATAAAATTATCACAGTTAATGCACCATTACCATGGCCACTCAACCCTTTTGTATATTTCTTCTTCTTTTTCTATAAACACAAGAATCGTAAACCTAATAGGATTGCCTAATCCGCCAAATCTGTCAACAAGTGCAATGCGAAAACTCTGGCTGGCTGTGACGTAGGTGAAGTCCTGTATTGGAGCGTTTACTATGTAAAAGCATGGAAATAATCTGAAACTGACCCGAGCTTTGATGGACTTTGAGTATTTTGAGTAGCTAATATAGCATTTTATTTGGATAATCACTCGTTATTTTCATTTAATGTCAACATTAAATCGTTTTTTGTACTTATTTAATAATTATTGGGAAGTGGCGTAGGATAGGGTCTCAGGTAGAGTAAAAATTATAATTATAATTATAATATATATATATATATATATATATATATATATATATATATATATATATATATATATATATATATATATATATATATATATATATATATATATATATATATATATATATATATATATATATAATCAAGTTTGACTTATATGTGTTATCTTGAAATACATATATTAATTAAATATTGTTACACATAAATACATAAAACTAGCGAACAAAACGATTTACTTGTAAAAGTTTGTGTTTTATGGCATTCTACCATTTTAAATCCCATCAGGGTCCACCAGTCAGGGAGCGGAAGCGGAGGGAGGTGCTAGCTCTGGCTCGGATTCGGGCTGAGGCTAGCATCGTGACCCGCAGATGGTATTCCCGTAACAACATCTTCACGGGGATAGTACAAATTAACCTGCAACACAGCAGGGCTGCAACGTCCCACTTATGCAGGAAAATTTCGGAGGGTGGTACATCCATTGTACTGATCCAAGAGCCCTGGATTGTAAAATCAAGGGTTAGGGGCTTATCTCTGGGAAGGTCGATGCTGCATAGTGTCGACTCCTTAGAGAGCGTTCCCAGGGCTGGGTCCCTGTATACTAACCATGGGGCTGGAGGCCTTTTCCCTAAGGAACAAGGCGTCCAGGGACCTGGTTCCAATTCTGGTCAGATCCCCCACTCGGGACAGCGTGAGGGAGGTAGTAGTCGCCTCTGCGTACTTTCCAGGCGACCGCAGCTGTCCTCCGCAGGAGATCAGTGACTTGGTCTCCTACTGTGAGGAGGCGAATCTTCCTCTTTTGATTGGCTGCTACAGCAATGCTCACCACATTTTGTGGGGCAGCGCGGCGACTAATAGAAGGGAGGGGAGAACTCGTGGAGTTCATGTCCTCGGCAGGGCTGCAGGTAGCCAACAGAGGAGTAGAACGCACGTTTTTCACGACGGGTCGGAGCTCGGTTACAGACTTAACACCTTTGGGTTGGAAATGGGTGTTCGGAAACCCGTTAGATTTAGGAACCCCCGGGCAACAAACTGGGAACTTTATTGGGAGGAGCTCGCTTGGTGCCTAGGGGGTTTACCAAGAAAACACCGGACATTGGAGAAGATTGACGAGGCCGCCGACCACGTCAGCTCCGCTATGATACGGGCTTTCGAGAAGAGCTGCCCTGAGACAGAGGAGCATAGGTCGAGGAGGACTCCTTGGTGGAGCTCTTCCCTGGAGCGTCTCAGGAGGAGAGTGCGGAGGCTGTTCAATACAGCGAGGAGCAGCAGCCTAGGTGCGGACTGGGGTCTCTATAGGGAGGTCCGCAGACAGTATAAAAAAGAACTGCGGGCATCACAGTGGGTGGGCTACTGCGACGAGTAATAAATATCCCAGACGTGGCTAGGTTCCTTAGGGTACTCAGAAGTGACCCTGCGGGAAGACTGGGGGTGGTCCGCAGGTGGCTACACAGCGGGACCAACGGACACACTACAACAGTTGTTGACCACGCACTTCCCAGGGTCCGCCGATCCAGACACAGGGGGAATATTGAAGCCGGGGGTCGACTTGGATGCGACTACGCCACGGCAAGGAGGGTGGTTACCCATAGTAGGTTGAGGTGGGCTATTGACAGCTTTGGCCCCTTCAAGTCGGCGGGCGTGGATGGAGTATTTCCGGCTCTGCTCCAAAGGAACGGAGGTCTCCTGACCAGCCCGCTGATGGACCTGTCCAGAGCCTCCAATGCGAGGGGATACGTGCCCGAGCTGTGGAGACACAGCAGGGTAGTGTTCATCCGTAAGGTAGGGAAGAATGACTACACGGACCCGAAGTCGTACCGGCCCGTTTGACTCACCAGCTTCATTATGAAGACTCTGGAGAGGCTGGTGGACCGGTATCTGAGGGACTGGGTGGAGCTGGAGGCCCCTTTTAGAGCCAGCTCAGCATGCGTACCGAAGTGGCGGGTCTGTGGGCTCGGCTCTTCACCATCTGACTTCCAGGTTGGAGGAGGGTATGGGCTCGGGACGGCTGTCGGTGTGCGTGTTCGCTGACATCGAAGGGGCCTTCAATAACACTTCCCTGTATTCGATCTGCAGGGCGGTGAAGCGTACTGGAGTGGGGACGGCCATTGTAAGGTGGATCCGCTCCATGCTAACCGACCGGAGGAGGATGCAGGGGCTCCTGAACGGGGCATTGGTAAGATTCTCACAATGGTGCCGGGACAGCAAATTGGCTGTCAATCCTGGCAAGGTGGAAATGGTCATCTTCACCAGAAAAAGGAAGATGGAGTGCAACCTTAACATTTCGATGGATGGGGTGCCTCTTTCTACAAGCGGAAGTGTCAAGTACTTGGGGGTATGGTTGGACTCCAAGTTGACCTTCCAGGAACATATAGGGTCAAGGACCAGGTCGGCCTTTGCAGCTCTGTAGGCGTGCCGGAGAGCGGTAGGGGGCACTGGGGCTTGGGGCCGAAGACCATGCAGTGGATCTACGGTACCATGGTGGTGCCTATGCTCACGCATGGGGCAGTGGCGTGGTGGCCGGGGACCAAAAGTGCAGTAGCAAGGCTAGTTCTTGATAAACTGCAGAGATTGGCTTGCCTCTGCATAACGGGCGCCATGAGAACGGGGCCCACGAGGGCCCTAGAGGCTCCGGTGGGGTTGCCCTCTCTGGCGGATCGGGTGCAAATGGATTCGGCCAGGACGGCTGTGAGGCTGGCGAGCTGCGGGCTCTGGAGGGAGGGAACTTTCAATCGGGGTCCGTACGACATGTTAGATAGCTGGCCTGGGGATCGCGGAGTCATGGGCATGCCGAGTGACGTCATGATCCCCGAGATGGCCTTCTTTGACAAATGGACCTTTCTCTTCCCATCAAGGAAAGAGTGGAAAAAGGGCAGAGTGGGCTCCTGGGATGGACTTGTCTGGTACACGGACGGGTCCAGAATGGGAGATCTGTCCGGAGCTGGAGCGTACTGCGAGACAACGGGATCGAGCTTCTCGGTCCCTCTGGGTCAGTACTGCACTGTGTTTCAGGCGGAAATTTTCGCTTTATTGATGGCGGCCAGAGAGGTGCTTCGGCTCCACCACAGAAGCAGGAGAATCTTCTTCTGCTCGGATAGTAGGGCTGCACTTATGGCACTGCGTACGCGCTCCTTGTTGATAAAGGAGTGCAAAGGGGTACTGAGGAGAGGAAAGTCACGTTGGCCTGGGTCCCGGGTCACACTGGTATTCGGGGCAATCAGGCAGCGGACGCCTTAGCCAGGGAGGGCTCCTCGTATAGGCATATGGGACCAGAGCCCCGCTTGGGGATCGCCCCGTGTGTAAGGCGGGGAGCTCTCGAAGTCTGGGCGAAAGACCGGGCCGCGGTGGGCTGGAGAGTTGCTCCGGGAATGAGACAGGCGAGGCTTATGATGGATGGGCCCGCCCTCCCTCGGACCAGGGAGCTGCTTAGACTGACCAGAAGGAAGTGTAGAGGACTAACAGGGGCCTACACAGGGCATTGCAGGCTTAGGAGGCATATTTGCTTGCTAGGTATTAGAGACGACCCGGAGTGCAGGTGGTGCATGGAAGGGGAGGAGACCCCGTATCATCTGCTCACCGAGTGCACTGCTTTGACATGGGCAAGATTGGGAGTCTTCGGAACGGCCCTGATCGATCCGTACTCAGTGCACGGTATTGGGCTAAAGGAGTTGCTGACCTTCTATAGGAGGGGCGGCATTCTGGACGTCCTCTAGAGCGGCCTGGGGGCATACCGGGCCCATCTTCTGGCCTAAGTGCTTGGACGCCCGCGAGGGCTCCCCCCTTTAATACCAATACCATTTTAAATATACAAAAATCAACATATACTTATAAACTAGAAATCCCTATTTTTGGATATATTAAGGAACATATTAAAAAACAAAAAATATATTAGGCATACATAACAACTATTTATAGGTGGTAGGTAAATGATATGTAGTTATATGTACCCTCGTATGTACATAATATAAAAAATACATATTACTACATATAATTAAATCTTTATTTTACAATTTGACCATACTTTCTATTTTTTTTTCTGCGGGTATCATCTTGCAAAGAATTTCGTTTTAGACTAACGTTATATTTTGCTTTTAATTTTCTAAAGTTCATACGAATTATCGTTCTCAGCTTATTTATAATATTTTGTTTTGAAATATTTTAGTTGGTCATTAAGAATTTTAATTTTTTTATTATTTTTTATAAAATGACCTTTAGTTTTAATAGAACTAACTTCTAGCAAAGAATATTTTTTGGTCATAGCCGGGGTTCTGGCATGGGTTCTGGAGATGCCAGAACCCATCTCCGAACCCTAAATAATAAATCATAAAGATCAAAAGATTTGTTGGATAGTTTTAATAATTTATCTAAAAAATATTCTTTGCCAGAAGCTAGTTCTATTAAGACTAAAGGTCATTTTATCAAAAGTAATAAAAAAAATAAAATTCTTAATGGCCAACTAAGATATTTCAAAACTAAATATTATAAATAAGCTGAGAACAATAATTCGTATGAACTTCAGAAAATTAAAAGCAAAATACAACGTTAGTCTAAAAAGAAAATCTTTGCACGATGATACCCGCAGAAAAAAATTAGAAAGTATGGTAAAACTGTAAAATAAAGATTTAAGTATATGTAGTAATATGTATTTTTAATATTATGTACATACGAAGGTACATATTATTATTTAGCTACCACCTATAAATAGTTGTTATGTATGCCTAATATATTTTTTGTTTTTTAATATTTTCTTTAATATATCCAAAAATAGGGATTTCTAGTTTATAAGTATTTGTTGATTTTTGATATTTAAAATGCCGTAAAATTTTTAAAATTTAGAATGCCGTAAAACACAAAGTTTTACAGGTAAATCGTTTTGTTCGCTAGTTTTATGTATTTTTGTGTAACAATATTTAATTAATATATGTATTTCAAGATAATACAAATAAGCCAAAATTGATTGCAATAGTATTATTTTTACTCTACCTGAGACGCTACACTACGCCACTTTCCAATAATTATTAAATAAGTACTAAAACGATTCAATGTGATTATCCAAACAAAATGCTATATTAGCTATTCGAAATACTCAAAGTCCATCAAAACTCGGGTCAGTTTCAGATTATTTCCATGTATTTACATAGTAAACGCTCCAATATAGGACTTCACTTACGTCACAGCCAGCGAGAGTTTTTGCATTGCACTTGCGGACAGATTTGGCGGATTAGGCAATCCTATTAGGTTTACGATTCTTGGGTATACCCTTTTTATGGCAATTTGATGTTTAGAATTCAGTGGTTTGTATGCGGGTGGGAAATATAAATAGGTGATTTTTATGTATTTCAATTCTGAGGATAAATAGATATTTTAAACGCCACCCGTAAAGGGTATGTGACGCGTAACACTCCAAGAAATTTAAAAACGATTTTTTCTACTCCAGTCTGTAAAATACCTAATTACACACCGATCTATCGTGCGGGAAGCGTCACCTTACACGTCAGTTTCCTTTCCCAGGAATCCGAGCCACTTCGGACATTTCCGGGATTTTACCGCACGGATGTGGGAGCAATCGGATGTTTTCGGAGATATTTCCCACGCCTTGAAGTTTGACGTCTGTCAATTCTGACGATCATGTCAGTGAATGTATTTGTGTTGTTTTACGAAAATGTACCCAAAAACTAACGGTCGTAGAAAAAGTATAGTATGCAACACGTTCGGTAAACTTTTTAACTCACTCATTTATTGAACACTCGCTCCGCTCGTGTCAAATAAACTCGTGAGTCAAATGGCGTTTACCGCACTTTTTGCATAATATACTATTTCCCGTTTCAGTTCAAGTAATTCAAACTTATATGTCTGCTACCAATATACTTATAAGAAAATAATATACAAAACTTATGCCAAACAATGAAATTTAATCATATTACATGCAAATCAAACATAACTGTCCTATTTTTTAAACAAGCCAATAACTAACACAGAAAATAGTTTATAATCCAGACACCAAATTCCAGTTTTCCTTAATTTAATATATTTGTTTTGTTTTGTAAATGTATAATAAAATATACAGATTTAATTTCACAATTCAATTACAAAAATATATTTAATCTGAGCATGGCCATCATTGGGATAAACCAAAAAGCTTCATTGCATTGAATGACGTAGCCAATGCAACTTCTTCAGGGAGTTTGCTCATAAACGCTGCTATCATTTCCACTATAGCCGGAAGCGAACAAGGTTCATTTCTTTGAAATGTACAATAACGGTGTAAAAATGTCATAGACCTAGAATAGAACAAGCAAATATTATTATCAAAAGCTTCAGTCATAGGATAATGATTGTAATTTTAAGATGATAAACAACATATTATTCATGTGAAGCAAGATTGACAATTTTCATTTTTCTGTAACCATAACAAGAAGAGTATATGAAAATTTCTAATTGCAACCCCAATATGTAAATATATTTCTAATTTTAAAATATTTAATAAATTGTTAATAATGACTCTTGCCAATTGCAATCTTCCTTTTTCGTGGTGTTGACTTGCACCATACTGATGAAATGCCATTTATAAAATGAAAATAATCAAGAAACTGTATGTAGAACACAATGGAAAAAAAATCCTGGGTTTATAATAATTAAAAGAATCAATCATAACTTCCTATAAATTGTTAATATTATGCATTGTTATGCATATAGTGTCTGTATAAACTAAACCAAACATATTTTGTTTCTCCAAAACAAGTTCTCTCTGTATTTACGTTTTCTTGCAGTCAGTTTTTCATGTGTTATGACAATTTCCCCATCAAACACTAATCTAGAAAATGTTTAGGTAACAATTGACATAAATTGCGGCGGTATTTTATCTAGGATCACTTTAATTTTATGGTTTATACAGTCAGGGTCTGAATTCCCATTACAAAAAAATACTTACCTTTTGGTTAGTCCTTCTTTAACATGCACTGGCAGTTTAGAAGCCTTGGTATTTGGGTACATAAAAGGGGCATCTGTTTCAATTAGTAATTTTTCCAAGGGTATCAAATTATCTTGCAATAATTTTCTGACACCCGCATCTGATTTGTCCTTACATAGATAACCTAATGAAAGAGAATATGTTATGTCATTGTCACCCACTAAATAAGATTTTTAGCTAATTGCCCAAAAAAACGTGTTTAAGTATTTCCTAATAACAAGTCGGGTTTCCACGCTCCAATAACGCGTTTTACCACAAACCGAAACTCAATTTTACGTACTCGACGCGCGTTTCGCCAACCAAGTTGGCATCTTCAGGAGAAGATTAAAACTAAACCTAATAAAAAATGCTCTCTATATATATACACATCGGGAAATGGGAGAGGGGATTACACACTGTTCACGCAACCAATCAGCGCGTATAATGGGCTAAATGGGATTGGACCTCTGTCCTTGTTCAATGCCTTATTCCCTCTCTTAACAATTTCTAAGCTTTCGTAGGCATCTAAGTTTTTACTATGATTTACCTGTTTAACTAATTTTAAATTACTTATATCTACCTTATGATTATTGTTGAACATATGTTCGGCTACACTTGATTTTTCTAATCTACCAAATTTTGAATGAGCTAAATGTTCCTTAAATCTAGCATTAATTGATCTTTTGGTTTGCCCTACATATGACTTGTCACAATCGTTACAACATATTTCATAAATTCCCGACTTTTCAAGGGTATCTAGTTTATCCTTGGGATTACCCGAAAGATTTTTTAATTTTGATCCGGACTGACATTTCGAAGACCTGCGGCCCTGAAGACTCTATCAAGTCCACTTGTATACTGGGGAGAGAAGGGAATTGAGACTACTTTTAAATTTTCCTTATCAGCTTGAAAAGTCGTTGATTTTTGAAATTTGTTCTTAAATCTAATTTTCATAATTAACTTATCGATAAAATTATCTGCATAGCCATTGATTCTCGCCACCTTTTTTAAAAGGCTTCTTTCCACCTCAAACCTTTCTTGATTTAAAGGAAATGTGACAAGTCTATGAACTAGAAAATTAAAACTTGCCATTTCATGTTGAAAAGCATGGTTAGAATCATGATTCCCTTCACTCCCCAATATACAAGTGTACTTGATAGAGTCTTCAGGGCCGCAGGTCTTCGAAGTGTCTATCAGTGCAGATCAAAATTAAAAATTTTTTTGGATAATCCCAAGGATAAACTAGACACCCTTGAAAAGTCAGGAATTTATGTTGTAACGATTGTGACAAGTCATATGTAGGGCAAACCAAAAGATCAATTAATGTTAGGTTTAAGGAACATTTAGCTCATTTGAAATTTGGTAGATTAGAAAAATCAAGTGCAGCCGAACAATAATCATAAGGTAATTTAAAATTAGTTAAACAGGTAAATAATAGTAGAAAATTAGATGCCTACGAAAGCTTAGAAATTGTTAAGAGAGGGAATAAGGCACTGAACAAGGACAGAGGTTCAGTCCCATTTAGACCATTATACGCGCTGATTGGTTGCGTGAACAGTGCGTAATCCCCTCTCCCACTTCCCGATGTGTATAGATATAGAGAGCATTTGTTATTAAGTTTAGTTTTAATCTTCTCCTGAAGATGCCAACTTGGTTGGCGAAACGCGCGTCGAGTACTTAAAATTGAATTTCAGTTTGTGGTAAAACGCGTTATTGTGTGTTAGTACAGTGCCGAAGGTTCCAGTCAAGAGTTTGATATGAAAAACTTAGACCGTTTTTTGAGAACTAGTTTGCTTAAGAACAAAACAAGAACTGCAATAATGATTTCACATATAGGTATGAATTTACCTGTTAAACCTATGTAAAATCCTTTGGTCAAATAGGCAAGAGCATGCTCAACAGTCCCGGTGAAACAGTGTATAATCACGGGAGGCAAGTTGGATTTATATTTATCTAGAATTTCAATCAGATTTTCAAAGGCATCTCTTTCATGTAGAAATAATGGCTTTTTCAGTTCAATTGCGAGTCTCACCTAGATGATAATTTTATTAATGAAAGACAAAATTACACAACATTTTACTGTATATATAAAGGGTTCTTCAGGATAAATAGCAAGTTAGATGATTATGGAAAAAGAAGACAGAATCATTCTAAAAAATGTGTCCTTCACACGATTGTTGCTTCATAGGACTAAAACTAACATAATGTTTAATATTTTTAATGGGATCCCATAGATATTGATGGTGTATTATCAGAAGGGTGTATGCACCAAATAATAAATGGTAACACATAAAAAAAACATCAAAATTGAAATTATTACTTTTGCTATTATAATACCAATTCTGCAGACAAATAAAACTAGTTAGCATAGTGCAGTAATATTTAAGTGATATTTATGAAACCATATGCCTTCCATATTAAGGGAATTGATTAATTCATTACTTGGCTCCGCTATTATACACTTTGATTACTTTTCCTTCCTACTTTCTGTAAACAGTTTTTGACCAATTAAAATATCATAGATGAAGCTGCAATTTGTCAAATTATTTTAAATAAATATAATGATCCTACATCACGTCATCAAACATGAATCACCCTGTATAATAGATATTTACATGTTTTTCAAAGACATCTTGCTGCACTTCGGGTGCAGAAAAATTTCTATTATAATCCAAACCGCATTCTCCAATAGCCACACATTCCGGGTTGGAGGCTATTTTTTTTAACTCTTCCCAAGAATCATCATCATATGATTTAGCTTCATGAGGATGAATACCTTAAAAATATATCACATTAAATTAAAGGACAAAGATGAACACTGAAATTCTGTTGGTCAGGGGGTTATTTAGTTTGCAGTTGATTAATAGCTCTCATCTATTTAAGAGAGATTGCAGTACAAATTATTATACTAACAAACCTGCTGTAGAGTACAATGTTTCCGGGTATATTCTAGTCAATCTCAATGCTTCCTTGCTTGCTTTTACAGATGTACCTGTTACCATTATTTTCTGCACACCTAAAATGATTCCTTACACAAATTTACAAATATATCTACCTACTCACAGCTACAAAATATTGGTACATCGTCGAAGCAAGTTAAATCCCATGGAAAGAAGACAACATAAGCATTAATAGTAAAAAAGAAAAACGAAAGTTTGCATATTGTAATATCCACGAAAATGTTCCAAGTTTTTGAAAATCTCTACATAAAAGTTAACAAGCAAATGAAATTATATTGTAAAGCAAAGAAGAGTTTTATTGTATCATAAGAAGTTTAAGCAAATGGTGACTTGCCTGAATCTTTCGCTCTCTGAATAACTGAGTCTAAATCTTTGCTATATTTTTTGTTCGTCAGATTTGCTCCAACGTCGATCAAAATATAGTTTTCGTAACATTTTTCAATGTTTGCGTCATTTTGTTGAGTAGTTTCTGCCATATAATAAAATATAAAAACTCTTTTAACAAAATGATCTAATAAGGCACTTTAAATTACTAACACCCTGAGTATAAATATAATCATAGAATAATTCAATTCACTGATGCGTTTCACTAATACACTTAATCATAGAATAACAAAAATAATAGAATTAATAGAAATCACTCTTCCTTGGCTAAGCTAAGCTCCTGCAACTAACCGGCCAATTTGTTATAACCTGTTTCCCACAACAACCTATTTCACAGGCCAGATATACTCGCATTTTAATTAATTAACTAATTGATAATTTGGATATTTAGTCTAAGGCAGTATAAGTTTTATATAACTATGTAATGGGCGAATGGTCCTAGTTATTTACCTGACTTATTTAGGAAGACAGTGAAGAAGTGACACGTGTTTCGGTTTTTAATTTGTTTGATTAGGGTGGCGTGTGTAATTTTTGGAATTAAATAATTCGTCAATTGACGACGAAATACAGTTTCTATTAACAAAATGTTGAAAGCAGCGGCTGTTGCAACAAAATTTTTCAATGAGTACAACACTAAAACATCAAAAAAATTGAAAGTAATAGATGCATATTTATTTTATATTTTAGTAACTGGAGTTATACAGTTTTTTTACTGTCTGTTGGTGGGTACATTCCCATTCAATTCTTTCTTAAGTGGATTTATTTCTACGGTCGGTTGTTTTGTGTTGGCTGGTAAGTATCAATTGCAGGTAAAAATTCTCAAAAATAAGTGACTGTTCCTTATTTTATAATCTACGCAATACTTTGTACTGTTTTGGGTATTTAGAATTCACAAAATTGTGAAACTCTATCAATAATCCTGATATCCTGAATAATTTGTTTGTCAATATGGTCACTAAGTTGCTAGTTATACTATTTACAAATCTTCTGGATTCTTCCTTTGTTGAAAAATTAAATTGTCGTTTTGCCAATCATCCTGTTGACTGCTTCAGAGCTTAACTGAAGAAGCCAACAGGATGATTGGCGAAATTTCAGCAAGTTCAATTTATCAGCAACTGATGCAGGAGGAATCCAGAAGCACCGTGCCATGATAAAATATTTTTGATTTTAGTTTGTTTGCGACTCCAAGTTAATCCAGAAAATAAGAATCAATTCTTCGGTATCAGCCCTGAGAGAGGATTTGCCGATTTTATTTTTGCGCATGTGGTGCTTCATCTAGTTGTCATGAATTTTATAGGCTAATTAATAAAATGTTACACCATAAGGAAACACATGTAAAATATAGGTGAATCCAAGTATTTATTTTATTCAACTTGATCACCCACAACCATAACACATTTTTAAAATAACCTATAAACAAAAATATCTTGTTTTACATCAGTTGTACCTGCTTTTACACCTGAAACTGCAACTTCATTTTCCTCAATAAAAGTTTCTAGAGTGTATTATAGTTCTTTAAGTGCAAAAAGATTTTTCAATTATTGAAATGTTTTTAAATAAGTATGAATTATTCTATTTTATATTTTAAATGCTGGATTTAAATCACTAAAATAAGAATGAGCCATGGCATCATCCGCAGATAGTCTTCCTAGGGGATTGCAGACTAATAACTTTTGAAGTAGATCTCTTCCTTTATTGCCCAGTTTTGGCACCACCTGAACAAAATGTGTATTTGCACAATATATCTAAAATAAAAAAAATCTACTTAACTAACAACTAACCTGAGATAAGCTCATAGTAGCTTGATACACTGGAAATGGTTTATAATCTGGAAGTTGACTTATTCCACTCCAGGTATCTTCAGTTGGAGTACCTAGCAATTTGAATATTCTCCTTATTTGATCATCCACATCAGACCCAGGAAATAATGGCCGCCCTAAGAGAGAACTGGTAGGATAAAATAGTACTTCTGCAGAAAAAAAAATATTAAAAAGAGGTAGGTACATATTTTAAAAAATCTATAAAAAAAATGAAAGTTTGATTTTGGTTAAATTAATCAGTTGCAACCAAATCTATATTTTCAATAATTTTAAGTAGAGAAACTTACCAGCATTAGTCAACTCTGCAAAAATACAACCAGCTGACCACATATCAATAGAGGTTGTATACAACTTTGCACCAAAGAGTACATCAGGTGGACGATACCAAAGAGTAACAACTTCTGCAGAATAACATTTGACAGGAATTCCAAAAGCCCTTGCCAATCCAAAGTCTGCCAGTTTAAGTTCACCATTTTTGTTTATTAATAAATTTTGTGGCTTCAAGTCTCTGTGCAAAACATTATGACTATGGCAAAACGCTAAACCTCGTAGTAGTTGGTACATAAAGGATTTAACAATTTCTGTATCAATATCCCCATTCAAACTATCAAAATACTTTTTTAAGTCTTGATCACAATGTTCAAATACTAAAGTTAGTTTTTTATCACTATGCAAAACGTCGTATAAACGCACGATATTTTTATGTTTTAATTCTTTAAGGAGACATATTTCGCGTAAAGCTGAAGAAGGAACCCCTTCATCGTCGTCATCTAACCTCACTCTTTTTAAGGCTACAATTTCATGATTTTCTCTATTCTTCGCTTTAAAGACTGTTCCATAGGTACCTTCTCCGATTTTTTCCAATTTTTCATATTTCTGCATAACCCTTAACAATTTTACTTAATATATTTTAAACTATCAATTTAATATTTGAAATATCCTCCTACTTAATATATCCATCGATCTCCAAACAATACACCATGCCATACACCACGGAAAACTGAGAACAAACATTGAAATTTTGTTCTGGTTAGGTAAAAATTCCTGACAAATTGACAAATAGCTATTAGATAATACAGTGGATCTACTACGGTAAAAACTAATGCTCCGCTGGCAGTATTGATATGGAATTTCACCAACCTGCAATTTGTGCCATTTTCTTTTTAAACAGGGAGTTCTACATATTTAACTCGTTTTTCGAGAACATTTAACGAGATCTTGGCATATTTCGCTTATTCAACTCTATTGAAGATTCTGTCGGAGGCCAAGTTGGTTGTTGAATGCAGCAAAGTTTTTAGTTCTCAGCGACATTTTGAATCTCGCGCATGTGCATGTTGAATGAACCTTCCCAAAATTTTTGTTATAGTTGCTTCATAAATTCCTGTACTATCGGCATAGACAGTATTGTTAACTTATTACACTTAATTAATACAGCATACCACACTTAATATTTTCATATTCTCTCTTGGCACATTTGAATTCAACAGGTCAACCGACAGTTGGCCGTCATCTTCCTTTCTTCTCTTGTAAAACTCGCATTACCAATATATTATTTAATTTCTCGGCGCCACTGCCACAATTAAATGGGTACACTTTAATCAAAAATGTATTTTTCTACTCGAGGGACTGTAATCGTGTAGTTTTGTACCCAAAAACAAATATCCGTAAAAAAAGAGTATGCAATACACTGATAAATTTCTTCAATCACTCTTTTCTCGCTTCGCTCTGCTTAACTTGTGGCATAATTATTCGTATCACGTATATGTTATAATGAGTCTGAAAATTCATAATCCCAAAATTAAAAACTAGAGCAATGGAGATGTTTAATGTTAGTGCTGTATAAAATCCAGTATTACAATTTTGAAAAAAATCATTTTTTTCTTGGGCAATTATTCGGGGTAATTTAGGTTAGATTGAATTATAGTTTTTTTTAACCAATCGTTTATTATTGTTAGGGTTTCTTCAAGGGTACTTAAAACGAATTTTTATCATTAATGTTTTTTTTTAGATGCACAATTTTTGGAGACCCTGTTTGGTAGATGTTTCGAAAGGATGACATGCTGCGCTTTCAAATACTCTGGTTCGCTTACGAATGTTGATATTAAATATTATTTTTTCATTTACAATTTTCAATATTTAGAATTGATTATCCGCGGGGATCACAATTGATTACTTATATTATCACGGTGTATGTGACAATGTCTGGGTCCTTAGCTTTGAAAAGGTCGAGCTGTCAATATGATACATTATCCATATAATTTCAAATTTAGTAACTATTGTTTGGCAAAAAACTGGATAATTTTTCTAAATCTCAAATTCAACAAAATACAAAACAATCTCTTTATGGCTTTCAATCGGTATGGTTCATATTTGCTTCCAGTTTGTGATAAGGATTTTTCATGAAACCTTTTATCGGCAACTGATCAGATGTCAACCGTAACCAAACATGATTTTGCCATATGGTAAAATCAGACCGTAAAACGGTCTACAATGTGATTTGCTAATAATTGTTTCCTTTTCATCCGGAAAACTCAAAGAGCAGCACCATGATGGGGTTAGAACAATCAAATATTTAAAAATAGTTACCGAATTTATTCATGTTGAAGTTGTGGTATAGCGATTTGCTTAAATAGTATATTATGCAACAAGAACAGTCCGCATCAATTAGTACTGTCAAACGCAGAAATCAAGCTTCTTGCGAATCTTCTAACCTGCAGAAAATGGTTTTATTCGATGTAGTGAGTTTTCTTGAATCTCGATCAACTCCATTGGCAAGTGTATTGGCGCATTTTGTGCATTACTTTTTGTTGGAGTAACAAATAAATGGAAACAGTCTTTCATGTTTCTGAAATTTGAATCTGAATATCTGAATATTGAGCATAAGTGCTCCCGTCTAATGCTATGGAAAATGATTAAAAACAAACTACACTGTCAATCAATATTGTTATTGTATCAATTGCCATCATTTTTATACGTCGCCCAACAGTTCGTCTTGACAAACTAATTTTTCCAAATTCATTTGTCTTTTCAGGACGCAAAATACTGAAAACTTCTAACATAGACACCTTGATAAATTCTCCTTCGGCAAACGGTTTTAATTACTGTCAATTTTGAACTAAGTATCACAACATACTCATGTTGTGTTGTGTGCTTTGTTTATGAAACATTTGCTGCTGTTTTTCCAAATTTGCGGTCAGTATCTGGATTTTGTCTTTTCTTATTTGTCCTGTCTTTATGCTACATTCTTTCATCACTTAAATGATTTCATTACACAGCAAGATAAAAAAGAATTCTTCAATCTATTTTTCTTGAAACTCGACCTTCTGCATTTACTTTTCCTTTCTTTCCACCGGACATAATTTTCGTCTTAATTGAGTTTTTCAAAATGCCGGATCAAATCTGAGAACAGGCCGCCCATATTGCTGGTAGGCAATCAAGAGACTTTAACAAGCATCAAATAAAAATATGAAAGAAATATGAAAGATGTGAACTTTTAGTCAGATAAAAACAAAATTTATTTTTATGGCAACCTTAATAATTATAAATAAGTTATTTCTGTAAAACAAGATGTTTTAATAAATAAAATTAATTAGTCTCCAACAAAAAATAAGTGATAATATTAAATATTTAAAAACAGCTAAGCATGTCACAACATAAAAATTGGTGCCTTTCACACACACTGTTCGAAGTGTTTTCGGAGCGCGAGCATTGAAAATGTCAAGTGGCGAAATGTCTACAGGATCTCAGTCAGAATTCCCCGTACTTCGTTGCCCTTACTCGGGACACATGGTATATGCAGAGTGTTCCACTTCAAAAAACACACCTTCAGCTTCTTTCTTAAAAATCATATGTTTTACTTTAAAATCTGTCGAAAAATGTTGATTTTATATTATATCATGATATATTACAATGAGAGAGAATGCTATTTACATGAAAAATTTGCAGAATAAAAAAATTGTGCTAAAATTGCAATTCCGACAATGGCGTACAATTTGGGGAGGGTTTACCAGCTATTCACCCATGTCGTTTGCCTCTTGGAGTAGCGAGAAACGTTTATTTGGCATAATTAATTATGGTGTACTGTACTCACACTTCCCGCCAAGTACGACAAGGACACATCAAATAGTTTTAAAGTACTCGACAAAAACAATATTTAATTTTTATATAATCCACACTCAATCAGTTAATCAGTGAATATTTGAAGCTCAGGATTCTACAGTTAAGATATTTGAAATAGCAAAACTGTATTAAACGAATGTGTCAGATTCTAATCTTATTTGTCTGCGTACTTATAATAATGCGTTAACTTTTATGTTAATACAACCAATAGCAATGCGCTCTTTTATCGTATGTGGTGGGGCTTAGGCGCACGTGGTGCGCCGCTGCAGGGTTGCTATAAAATGTGTCACTCACCGTCGCGATGCTCTTCACGTATTCTTCGGTTAAATTGTAGGGGTGCTCGTTGCAGTAGCTCTGGAGGAATTGCGAATCGAACTACCAAAAGAATAAACAAAGGTTCCTTCAGTTTTGATTGGGCTGCACAAGTGAGTATGACAATTTCTTTCTTTTTGTAATGGGACGTATTATATATTCTAAGAATTTATTTAAATAGCGAAATTTCTCATGTCAAAATTCACTAAAGGGAACTACACAGATTGTTTCACAAATATAATGTGACGCTGGGCAAACAAGGGCAAAACAAAATAATTCTTTCGTCATGGAAATGCTTCATTATTCCACGGAAGTTTGGTTAAAATAAGAATAATTTTGGTTAATTTTTTGGGGGATTGAGTTTATAGATATAAAAGATATTTGAATTTAATATTGATTAATTAATTGCTTATATGTAACAATTAATTATTAGTTAATTATAAACACTTTCATTTTTCATAGTTTTCTTCCAAATATCTAATCAAAAAATTTAAAGCCTCGAGGAGGACGTAGGAGAGGAGGAGTATAAGTAAAGTACCTACATAAAAATAAAAATAATAAAATAGTACTATTGTTTACAAATACTATGTTATACTTACCCATAAACTTGTATTAGTAATAATAATAATAAAGTACTATTATTTACAAATACTATGTTATACTTACCCATAAACTTTTAAAAACCAAACCACTATTTGGTAAATATAAGGATTTCTTATAAAACCCAGAGGTTCCGAAAATATATTTTTATTTTAAATATAAAACTGCCAAAACTGGACTTGAAGAATTTAGAAATGATAACAGTAATGTTGTCAGATTTTGCGATGATATATATTTATAATTCTGGTAATTCTGAGATGTTTTGTTAATTTTGTTAATAACACTACTGTTAGCATATTTGAGTTTTGCATGTTCACAAAACCCCCGGTATTGAATTTTATCTTTCGCAAAAATTGCAAAAAAAAAATTAAATAGAGCATTCCATTTAAAATAACAAAGTTGTGGCGTGTAACGTAAAAGCGGTAAATCTGAAAATAATGTTGCTAGCATTTTTGAATTCTGCATCCTCAAAAGTCCAGGTATTGAATTTTATTGTTCCAGCTTTGGCAGTTTTAGAAATATTTAAGCGTTGCGGTACTTTTTACTAATCTGGTATATTATGGAATCTCTATAAGAAAAATGGTAGTTTTTTAAAATATTAAGTGTCTGTGTTAGTTTCTACTACAATAAATACAAACGATTTGGGCGAAATAATTTTTTTTCAGGAATCCATATAAAATATCTTGTATATAATTAATAAATTATTATTATTCGTATAGTATTAAATATCAGTGTTGCATAAAAAGTAATATAAATGCAATTCGTTTAGTGAAAATATATATTCTATTCCTCAAACAGATTAACCAACATTTTAAACAATTATCTGAAAGCAATTTTTTGATTTATATTTCCAGTCCAGTGAGGGCAGTTGTGCAGTTGCATCATAGCATGACATTTTTATCTAGTTCAGTACTGGATGTCGTAAATTGACACAGCAATTTTGTTTATCAGTTTCTAAAAATGATAGCAATATATACTATACGTGAAGTGAGCTGCACAATTGCTCTGACTGGAGTATGTACACCTTATATATGCAGCTAGAGTTCTCGTTTCTTAGGGAACAGGCAAGTTACTTTTTTCTCCTCTTTAACTTTTTGTTCGGCACAACTGGTGCAAACTGAATATTTTTCGTGAAACTTTGTAGCGAGCCTTGCAGGCCCCTACTCCAGCAGTAGATATAGGATTGATGTAGTGTTCGACGGAACAAGAAAAACGTACAACATGTACATAAAATTCCCGAATTGTCGATAGTTTTGTAATGTTTTCTTTAAATTATATTTTAGTTCCCACAAAAAATGTCGAGGGGGTCTGCTGTAAGTGAACTCATTTTTTTTCTAAGCAAACCTCGATTTTATCACCAACAGTAATTCTTTCACAGTTATGATAAACTCGCGAATAAATTGAAAGAGCAACATTTTTCACTACCAGACGTAACATTTTTAATTTAATATTTTTATAGTAAGCCGACATAGTATAAGGTTTTAAAATATACCCACGTTTAGAAAAATAGCGAATTTTGAGCGAATCGATGTTGGCTACGGTGGATATAAAAATGGATTGTCAAAGATATTTTTTGTTAAATTTCTAGTTAATTCTTCCTTCCTTTATTCCGAGTCCACAATGTAGTGAATAAGTAGCCAAGATCCAATTTTTCTTATCACAAAAGAAAATTTCCAAATAAAGGGCAAGTACGTACAAGATTTTAGGGCGAAAGAGGGTCATAAATCTTTCTAAAATGAAACTACATTACGTCAATGTTGTGACCGATATATTATAGTAACGTCTGATCTTATTACGGTTTTAAACCATTAAAGGTAAAACTACTTAGTAGCAATTTAATACTTTAAAGTGAATTTATAAGTGAAACTGAATTATGAATTATTTTTTTAGCTGCGTTTGTTTGTTCGTTCGTTAGTTCGTTAGCATTGTACTTCTTTGGAGTTAAGAATTAGAGTCATTAGTACTTTTCGCGGGAATCGACTTTTGTTGTGTTCATTATTGCCCCACAGATCTGTGGGTGGCATTTGAACCACTTACTTTGTGTGACCGTAAATTTAATTTATCTAAGTATAAAAAGAATTAAGATTTTTAATTGTCTCTCGGACCAAATTAAGAGGCTGAATCTTGAAAACTCAAAGAAAATAATTTGTATCATCTGGACCAGTGTTACTACTGTGCAGAAGAATATTTAAGTTCCGAATTATAGGTGCGAGTCTCTTTCTGCTTTGGACCTGCGACAATTGCAAATTTACGTTATACAAACACAGTAAAATAAAGTTCAGTTCTGTTCCATTCATATTTATGCGATCCAGTAGTTTTTGCGTTAGACAACATTTTTAATTTAATAAAATTTTAGAAAATAAAGGGTGATGAAACGTCTGTCGTTGCATAGTGTCTGATCTTCTACCCTCAACTTTGCGTTCCATTATTACGAGTATCTACTTGTAATAAATATTACCACATTTTCCAGATTTTAATTTCTTATATGTATTCTTGTATTTTCAATCTTGCACGGGTAGACTCCGGTTTTGAATCCATTGTTAAAAAGATTTGCTTTGTCTTGTGTTTAAAATTAAATACGAGAAATCTAGCTCAACAAAACCGCCTGTCCAACTTAATCCAAAAAACTAAAATAAATACGAAGTAGAACTTTAATAAACAAAACGAATAACAGTTATTTACAATTTTATGTTTGTCGACTCGAACGCCTTTTTGTAAAAAAACACTTCTTTTTGAAACGGATATCAATTTCAGAGGCGATAAAATAACAAAGAGATATAGTTTATTTAGATACGTATGGGAAGCTAGGGGCTTAAATATCACGGCCAGGATAATAGGGCTTAAACATACAAAGGCAAAGTTGAAATTTCTCTTGAAAATATTCAGAACATCAAAAAATTGTTTTAAATTGGCAGTTCACAATTTCATTTGAAAAGAATTTGTAAATAAGACCATAGGTATTTTCGCAAAAAGGACACTTTTCGGTGTGAAAATAGATTTAATTTCAAGTTAGAGCTGTTTTTTTGCAAAAAAAGCCATAGTATAATTAAATTAGGAATATGATTTGGATGTGTTTATAGTCCGTGTCCACAGCTATTTTTCTGGGAATTCCCAAATGAATTAACGGTAGTGTACAGTATGTCTAGGGTTACAGTTACAGTATTTAGAGTACCCATAATAAGTCATACTTTGTTGGAAAAACAGCAATCGGATAGGACTAAATCTTTTAGTTGTATCCGTGGAGAAATAATATTTATCCGATAAATTAACTTATCTGCTAAATCTTGCATTGCATCCTTGAGGCAATAATATTTATCCTTGAATTATTTCGTGCCAGATTAATTTTTAAATAAACGAGCGGCGTTAATATTTCCAATGTTGAAAAATGGTTTCAACTGTAAAACGTATATGAAAAACTTTATTAATTGTCGTTGTGTTTGTAGAACGGCAGATGTCCAATAAACATTTTAATCTCTGTATAATTGAGTTGTGTTGAAAAGAGCTTTATGCGATTGTGGGGCATCGTACAAATCGAAATTTAACAGAATAAATAAAAAAATAAAGCGATATAAATAAAGCTTTAATTCACTTTGTGATTTTGTTTTTTGTATCAGTACCTTCTTCTTCGAAGTTGGCCAACACCGGCACGGAATAGTTTTCCTGTTTTGTTATGCTACCATTTTCTAACGCTTTATAGCCACAAGTTTCTTCCTTCATCTTTTGTCCGATACCAACCCAAATGTAAGTATACACACTGTTAAACTTTCTTAATAACAGTGTCATCAGCATATCACTAAAGTCGTGTGTCGTAACAGCTTTGCTGTATTGTAAATGCTCTAAATATAGATCGACCAGAATTAAATGAAGGGAACATCGCTGTCATACTGTATTTCAGTATCTTCAGTATCCATGTCTCTATAGCATTAGATATTTTTATTTATCTAAGTTTTTCTTTCACATTTAAAAAATGTTGGTCATTGCCATTGTTTCCTTCTTTGTACCCGCGCTAAGAATACATTTTTCACATTTAAATTTAGCCCACCTGGAAATGCACCAACTTTTCCATTGTTTCTGCCTGTCTTTGATTCTGTAGAGGCAATAATATTATTTGCTGATATTATCGTACGTGCAGAATGTTTGGAAGTCAACTACCGTTTTATCTAAATATCAGAGTAAGCGGAGCTAAGAGGTTCTCGGATCGTAATCTGTTTTGAGACGTCAGTTATTTTTAAATTCAAATCCATCCTTACGGCCGGTATAGCGAACGACGAAAAATTTTATATTAATATATTAGAGTCAAAGTTTGGGGAATTTCTACAATTCCAAAAACAAGTAAACAGGCCGATGTCAGTGGGGTTGCCCTGGACATAATATTGAAATACAAAATTGCTGAGCTTTTTATTATAATAATGATTTGTTTACCACCGAATTCACTTTACTTAGTTTGACCGACTTAATTACTAAAAAATTGATTCGAAAATAAAAGTAACAACAAAACTGCAAAACATTAAAA